ACTTCAAACTAGAGGCTTCAGTTCTAACAGAGTGAAGTTTAACCCGTCATGAAGCCACATGGTGGATGGAACTGTGACCATCCCTAGAATCAGAAACAGGTCCTCTGTCGTTTGTCTCTGACTGCTTTTTAGACACCATTTCCATAATGTCATGAGGAGGTTTTCCAGTTCCTGATTCTTGCAGTTTCCCGCTAATTACACTCGGGATCTTGAAGCCAAGCAGTTGCTGCTCTGCAGGGCTCTGTGGCCGGGCTGGCACCTGGTGTCTGTGGGTTACGAGTTACTGGCCCCTCTCACAGACGCTGGGCCTGCATACACTGCATGTACTAAGTGATTTTTAAAGTTAAGTGTTTCTTGAATGTACTTTGACAGCTTTTTTGAAAATTGCTTTCTACCGTGGCCGATGATTCCTTGTTTTGGAAGGATGCAGCAAATTTCCAGGCTGCCTCTTAAATCTCATGGCTCTTAAAAGTCAGTCTTTAAAATAAATCTGTGGCCTAAACACGTGTAGCAGATAAAAGAAGAGCCTGGAAAATTCTTATATGTACTAAGATTTATATCTAGTTTTCAAATGATACATTTTATTTTCACCATCTTCTTATAAATCTCCATCACTTGAAATGGATATCAGACTAGTGAAAGGGCTATCTGGGTATACAGTGTCTATCTAGTCATATTAAGAGAAGCAATTTTCCATTTGAGTTTTTACAGCTTACAAAATGTCACTCATGATCTGCTAAGATAGTGAGGTCAAATCAAGCACGTGAATTAAATATTTGAGAAATTTTGGAACCAATCCAGGAAAAAAATCTGAAATAGGATATAATGGCAGAATTTTTAAGATAGTCCTTGCATAGTTCTTACATTTCCCAGTTTGGATAAAAGGGGAAAAAAAAGTGCTTTAAATAAATGACTTTTCTTCTGGATCTTTGCAAATGATTTCCTCTTCCATAATGGCTAGTATTTCTTGAGTGCTTATACTTTGTGGCAATTCACTATTCCAAGTATTTTACCAGCATTTATTCGTTTAATCCTCAACACAACTCTATGAGGTATGTACTCTTATTCAACAGAGAGGTTAATTATCTTGTTCAAGGTCACACAGCTGGAAAGTAGGTTGACCTGGAGCTGACTCAGCCAGCCTGGCCTCAGACCCACACACTTTCTTTCATTATGTCTGTAGTGTCTCATGTCTCCTAACCTTGAAATGCACTTACTTATGAATATTACATTGCAAATATCTGCTCAGTAACCTTTCAAGTATAAAGTCCCTGAGGAAAGAATTATCTTTCACTTGATTTTTATTTAAAAGACAGTATAGTTTCATGAGAACAACACAGAAGCCAGAAGTAGACTGCTGAGTTCACACCTCAGCAGTGTGACTTCTAACAAGCTATTCACCCTGGAGGTGTCATCATTTCTTTCATAAAACAGGGATGATGGTAATAATGGTACCTACCACATATGGTTGTTTTGAGAATCAAATGAGTTAATAAGGAGCACTTGGAGCAGTGCCTGATACAGAGTAAATACTTTGTAAGCCTTTTTCTTGTTACTATTATTTAATCTGCTCAGATCAAAATGTCTAAAATGGCTTAAAAATACTCAGTGACAATAATTTACTCAATGAGCAGAGAACTGGGGCTCTGTTGATGTTTAGTGATTTGAATCTGAGCCAAAAACAAAGGTAAGAAAAAGTGCTGCAAATTTTTAATCAGTTTCCTCTAAATAGGAGGTTTTTATTGTAGTACGCACATTCCAGCATTTGTTTGGCTAGTGAGATCCAGAAGCACCCAGAAGCTTCAGCTTGTATCAGACTGCTGATTAATTAACTTCTGGGGAGATTCCATGAATAATCGGGACAATATGACAATTCCAGTGTTTTATGAGCCCCTTCACCTGGGGTAGACCAGTTCTCCTAAACACGCTGCAGTAGGAGCTGTGTGATGTAGGTACTGTGCACAATAGGTACTGTGCACGCATGATAGTGTCTGATCCTGCCAACACCGCAGGGAAATATGCTCTTATCACCACTATAGAGATGTGGAAACATAACCAGTCACCCAACCAGTAGGAGGTAAGGTCAGTATTGAGGCTCTAGTTGTCTTACTGCAGAGCACGAACTCTTTCTATTGCCCATGCTAACCATAGTTAAAATCCACAAACGAACGAACACATTGAAGCAGTGGGAAAAGGCAGAAAAGGGATGTTTTAGTGTCTCTTCCACCAGTTAGAGGCAAATCATTCAGCTCCCCTAGGATGCAGGGTCGATAGAATAGGGACACTGAACTACTTTTGAGGCAGGCTGAACCAGTGTACTTGCAGTATCTTTCAGGCCTATGATAATTATTATTTTCACTGATTTTTATTATTTATGTATGTATATTCATGGAACATCTAATATGTGCGTGGCCCTGTGCCAGTGGCTACACGGGATGAAAAAAAGTGAAACAGGATGTAATTCTTTGGATTGCTTGAGACTAATGATGATAGTGAACGATGGACCTTGGAAGTCTACCCTCTAGTGGGAGAGAAAGTCATGGTCAGCAAAGCAGGCAGAAACGCCGGAGGAGATGCGGTGTTCTCACTTCAGAGGAGGCAGAGGGCATCATCAGCTGGGGCGTTAGAAGACTTCGAGGTGCAGGTGCCGTTTGAACTGAGCTTTAAAAGACGTGGAGAGAGGACATTCTGGGTGGAAGACAGCGTAGTGAGAGGCAGGGAGATGGAAAAACATGAAGTGTTTCGATGAAATAGTGATCTTTTGATTTGGGTGAAGTGCAGAATCCTGAAAGATAAGGCTACATTAGACTGCAGAGCCAGGTTGAGTAGATTAGGTTGCTTGCGGATGAAAAGGAAAGTCTTTGAAGCTTTCAGCATGGATGTGAAGGCTTAGAGCTGTACTTTAGGAAGATTAATTGAGAGGGTCTGTCAGTTTCAAGTCTAGGAGCCTGAGAGAATGCTGGTACCATTGATGGAAAACAGGAGATCAGAAGGAGCTGGTTTTACCTCCCCCTTATTCATATTTATATGTATTTAGTTTGAAGAACTATGGAAACGCAGAACTGGACTTTGGGAGGAGCAGAAGAGACCGTATCAATTTGTCAAACATAAGTGAAGTTGTGCTAGGTGATTACAAACGAGTGTGCGAGGGCACGTGGTCAAGGACAGACCTTAGGTATGTAAACATCTAGCTAGCAGGTGGGAGAAAGAAGCCAGTAAGAGAAGTAGAAGAGCAGTAGTCAGAAAAACAGTGGAAGAAGCAGAGAATGCAGCGTTGGGGGTTAATGGAGAATTTCAGAAAGTAAATGGTGACTCATTAAATTGTAAGATACAGGTAAGATAACCTAATTAATTCAATATTCCTCACAACAGTAGGGTGCAGTGTTTCACACATTGTTGGTGTTCGATAAATGTTGAATGAAGATCTCTATTGTGCAATGCCACACAAAATCTGGGGAGCGTTAAGACTGTGAAAAGACCTTTGTTTTCATGATCAGGGCATCCCTGGTTATTGCTCCCATATTGTGAATTTCTAACCTTTCTGTTTGAAGGAAAATAAAGAACAAAGATCTTCATATCAAAGATTAAGGCAGGGGGCTGGTTCGGTGGCACAGTGGTTAAGTGTGCACCTTCTGCTTCGGTGGCCTGGGATTCACTGGTTTAGATCACAGGTGCAGACATGGCAGTGCTTGGCAAGCCATGCTGTGGTAGGCGTCCCACATATAAAGTAGAGGAAGAACGGGCACAGATGTTAGCTCAGGGCCAGTCTTACTCAGCAAAAAGAGGAGGATTGGCTGCAGATGCTAGCTCAGGGCTAATCTTTCTCAAAAAAAAAAGATTAATGCAGGTACAACATTGCCTCTAGGCCATGTGTTCTGTCAGACCACAAATATAAAAATGTCTATTTTTTTCATATGACATATTGTCACTCAGAATTCTGCTATCTGTATGAGTGTGAGTATGTCTGAGAATATGTGTGATAGCGGGAGGCGAAGGCCACAAAAATGTCCATCCCTGGAGACAAGATCAGTCCAACATGAGGGGCACACAATGATAGCAAGCAGCTGTCAGAAGCCTTGTACTAACTGGACAGATGGTACCACAGTTGTATCTTGTAGATATAGTGTCCAGGGAACAGAAGTACAAAGAGAACAAGAACCACAGCATAATAACACCTATGTAAATAAACACACACCTAAATCAATACTATTCAGCATAACCCAAGGATACACGCATGGCCCAAGACTTTCATTAGAGTGGGTGTCTCCTGGGGGTAGTGAGGGAATAGACACAAGAATCACGGTGAAGGGGAAAATAAAACAACAGAAAGACCTTGAAAAGATCAACGATGAGGTGTGTGATTGTAGGGGAGGAAGGCATTTCCTCTACCCACTCTGGGTCCTTCTGGCAGGACAACAAATTAAATTCACATGAGACAGAATAACAGGAGAAAATTAAACACAGCTTTATAACATGTATACATGGGTGAGGCTCAGGAAAACTGAGGAACTCACCAAAATGGTGGAAGCTCTCACTTTAAATACCCTCCTGAGCTAAAGGCAAAGGAGGATGCTGGGGGTAGGGGAGTCAGTTATGGGAGGTTACCAGAAAAGCACAGTAAACAAGAGTAGGGTTATTATGCAGATTTAAGTCCTTGCCTTCCTCATTGATAAGAGCTTCTAGAGATAAGGCCATCCTCCCTTCTTCCTGGTACAGAGAGGGAGACACCCTTACAAATGGAGATTGCCTAAACAAATGTAAATATCTCCTACAAAGGGTAATTCTACTTTTCAGAGTTTCTCTCCTCTCTGCAGTTTTTAAAAGTAACCAGCCCAAAATAATCCTCATGCCAAAGAGACTATCTTTGGGCGGCCAATTCCAATCCCCCACATGACTGATTCATGCTTTGTAGTGGACATCAAAAGAAAAAAAGACATACATGATGGAGGCATTTTTGCAAATTTCAAAAAACTGAATTCAATAAAAGGCTCACACAATAATCAGTGGGGTAACTATATAGGTTTTACATTTATTATGATCCATGGCAAACAAAAAATACAGAAATAACATAAGCTATCTATAGTAAAATTCATGCATATCACAAGGTCTATTAATTTTGGCCTCAATTCAAAGTGACATCAGGTGTGTTGGGAGCAGCAAGAAGGGTGGGGAAATTTATTATGGTCAGAACAGAGTACACAGGGCTCCACCCACAGGATCTTCCAACACAAAAAAACATTCTAAATGGTAGAATCCAATCTAATTCTTTATTGTGTAATACATTACATATTATATAATTATCAAGCAGGAATCCAGTATTGACATTTGTATTCTAGCTTAACAGTTACATTTATTACTCTTTATCATTAAAAATGTAATTCTAGCCAATTAGTTTTCTACCCATTCAAAGAATGAGAGGTAAAATCCAGCTTGAACATAGCAGCAAGGATATTCCCAATACTCAGTGACTGGCAGAAAATATAAATAGACAGACTTTATTTTTATATAGGATACAGGAACCATGGTTTCACATGTAGGGAAATCAGAATCAGATTTCTGCTTTTTCCTTGCTCTTTCCAAATTGGAAATTAGACCGCAAAAGTCATGCAGACCCCCCATCGGAAGCCCTGTTGCATTGGGTAACTAATGCTAAGAGGGGTGTGTTTTTGCCTTTACTGCTCTCAACACAGAACTCCATTTGCTGTTCCTCTGTTCTAACAGCTCTTTTTTAAACCTGTCTTGAAAAGAACTATGGTTGTCTTCATCCTCTGTCTCAGAGATGATTTCCATCTTCTGAATGATGAGTTTAATAAGCTCATGCTGTTTTTCCAGAAGAGATGTGAGATCCTTCAGCCTAAAAGGACATACACATTTTATTAATTTATTTTCAATTATCCTTTTAGGTGTTCTGAGTGCAGGGAGGCCTACGTACTAGAAGCGTTCCGTATCAGATTGAGCGTGCTCAGCTTATGGCCTCACAGTAGTCAAATCCTTCTAAGGGAGACATATTTTTAAAGTTTAAATGATTTTCCTAAGGTTAAACTGCTAGTTCATGGCTAGTTTACTTTTGTTCCCATTTTAAAGACTAAAACACTGTTGCACAGACAGGTTAAGTGACTTGCCCAGGGTCAAACAGTTAGTAAATAGTTAGTAAATAGTAAATAGTTCAGTGGGCCTTTGAACTCAGTAAATTAACACTGAAGCCCTCATGCTTAACCACTACACACTATATGGCTTCTCCAGGGATCCTCAAAAATTTACAGTATGAATTCGGATGGCTCATGAAGAATGCAGTTCAAGATACAGATGGGCAAACTAATTGATGAATAGCAGCAAATAAGTTGTTGAGTCTAAAAAATGTCTCCTGATTCTCAATATACTAGCAACATCAGTCAATTAAATCATGACAACAGATGAGCTAAAAACACAAATATACAGTATAACTTTACCCTACGCATCATTTAAGAGTTTTAAGTTCCTCAAATACAGATAAAAGGAAAAATACCGGTATTTCTGCTTCAATATTTCCGTTTCTAAAGATGTATCGGCATTTGGTATTTCTTGTCTCGCTTCTCGGGGGCAAAAGATATGAGAATACAAACGCTATGGGATAAAAGATTAAAAGTTACTCAAGTTGAACTCAATTCAGGAGCTAGTTCTTGAATATGTGCCATAATTCAGCTCCTGAGCCAGGGGTGCTGGCACCAACACTGTAAGACATAGCAGTGGCCTTGCAGGAGCTCAGTCCACTGACAGAAAGAGACATTATAAGTGGCAGTACGCCATACAGGATTAGCTGTTGATTCTCTAAAACTGCTCTGCACCGTTAACCAACACGACTGAATTTTACGTGGAGAATTTTCTGAAATGCTATTTTAATATGTTTTTAAATTTAGTGTCGTTTAAACCATTTAGTGGACTGGAGAGGATCAAGGGCAGATGTGAAATGACCAGGAATAAGGTAATTCTAGAAGTCCAGGCAGGAGAAGATGACCACTTGCACAGGCCGCCCAGGAAGTCAAATGGACCAAACACGGCATTGATTAGGTGTGAGGGGAGAGGATATGTCAAGAATGACATCTTCCACGGGCAAATGAATGGTGGTGACATTAGCAGCAATGAGAAACTTGGAGAAGGATGGGGCTTTCTCGCTCTTTCCCTGTAGGGCATGTCAGGAGGGAGGATCATGAGTTTGTTTTGCATGACCGGGGGTACCTTTGAGACAGACCAGTGATGCTGTCAACGAGACAGTGGGATACAGGGGCCTGGAACTCGAAGGAGAGCTCTAGGCTAGAGAGAGCAGCTGCTGAGCCTTCTGAGTTCAGGTACTACCCGCAATCATGGGGACAAGTGAAATCGGATCGGGAGACAGTGTAGACTTCAAATACAGCCGAGGCTGATCTCAGTTGGCCTTTATCATTTGAGGACTACACACTGGAAAATGAACCTAAAAAGAACTCAGAAACACTATTCCCAGGGACAGGAGGGAGCCCAGGCACGGTTAAGATTAGCGTCCAGTACTTCTGACTTAGTGTTGGCCCTTTTCCATTGAAGGCGATGGCCTTGCTTAGTCTTTGACACTTCGTATATTTTCTATAATGTACACCCCCACGTATGTGTGTGTATATTTATGCACCTATGTATACATACATGTGTATTCCTTACATGACATAGATACACATGTATATCTGCACATATATGTAAGTGGCGTGTGCCTAGGAAAAACAAATGAAGTGGACCTGCGCTGTAAAAAAGATGCTAAAGGGAACGGCTGGTCCACCTGCCCATCTGCCCTCCGAGGGATACGGTACATCTTTAACACAGACACTGTGGATGAGCCACTCGGAAGAGGAGAGGAAATGTCTCCCTCCACTGCCCATCACTTTCACACTGTGGGTAAATCATGCACTTTTTTTTTTAAAAAAGCACAATTATTTCAGGGGCCAGCCCTGTGGCCAAGTGGTTAAAGTTTTGCGTGCTCTGCCTTGGCAGCCCAGATTCACAGGTTTGGATCCTGGGCGTGGACCTGCTCTGCTCATCAGCCACGCTGTGGAGGCATCCCACATACAAAGAAGAGGAAGACTGGCACAGATGTTAGCTCAGGGTTAATCTTCCTCAAGCAAAAAAAAAAAAAAAAAAAGAGGAAAGTTGGCAATGGATGTTACAGCAAATCTTCCTCACCAAAAAAAAAAAAAACACAATTCTTTCTTTCCCACAGGCAGAGTGACTCCAAGCATATAAAACAGCACCCTTAGGGATAACACAATGAATGAGTACAAAGCAATATCATGTTATTTAAGTCGGTATTTGCTACATGTACTTACTAATAACATTCCAGTATGTCTGGGTCTGTTGGGGTACACCATAATGGACTTCTGATCCACTTTGTGTAGGAACCAGAGCGGCAGCTTCTTCTCTAAGCTGGTATGAAGTTCCACCTAAAGTGCGTTTTAGATTTGTTGATAAAAGCCATTATTCAGTATCTGGAATTCTTACACTGCTCGGAAGCAATGGTTAGTACAGCAAACTGCAGACAGACTCCTGGGTCCTTGTTTATGCACCAGCGGCTGGGCTGGCCAGGTTCCCTTCATGCCCAGCTCACGACACCTACATGCCCCTAGATCTCACCTCATCCCCTGACAAGAATTCAGTCAGCAGATGCGTACTATTCAGTGACTGTGACTGACACTGGGGCTACAAAGAAGAAAAAGACTTAGCCCATACTCAGGGTGTACTAACACCACAGCATGTGCACAGCTGGAGCAGTGGATGGTCTGAATGTGTAGCTATGACAGGAGAGTGGAAGGTGTGCTGAAATGGAGGCTCACAAGGTGAGCAGTGAAAGAACCAGAAGCAGCATGGCTAAGAGTATTTCATCAATTTCTCACACTGTGCTATCAAGTGGAAAATGGTTTATCCAGGACATATCTTGAGTGTAATTTTTATTTTCACAGATAGAATCTTTTGTCTCACTTAATGTTTTCACCTTGAGTTTATATTAATTCTCAGGTTTTCAACTTCTTTTTGTTTGCCTTTGACTCTGTCTATAGCCTTTGTGTTCGTTGTTTAGTGATGTTTAATTGCCATTGATGCAAGATTTAGTTTTCCAAACCAAGACCATATGTTTTTTAATATTTAGACATTGAAGTGATTTGCATTCATAAATGGTGAGATGGTGAGAAGTTCCCGACCATGCTGTTTAAAATCGTAGTCCCCCTCTCCCGCATAACACCCTCCCTATCCTGCTTCTCTGCTATTTTCATAGCAATTGCCACCACTTAACATACTAACACATTAGTTCCAGTTTCAAGAAAAGCTATGTTTTCTTGTATTTTATTAATAATACCAATTATGTATCTTCTTTGAGTTTCTATAGTAAGTAATTTTCAGGGTTCCTTTTTCCCTCGGGTCTTTAGGGCAATATTCCTTTCTCCCGCCATAGACATTGTTCAGAGGTCACGTGTTATCATTCACTTACTCAGACTTCATTGAAAAGATTTATTCACACCAAGGGTTTGCCAACAGATAAAGCACGTGGTGTATCTTAATCTTGTTCATTCTCTGCCCAGGAGCTGCCAGACTTCCTCTCTCAAACATGGTCCTGGGGGAGGATGGCAAGCAAAGCCTCAAGTCCAATCAGAGTGGGTCTGATGAGACCCACTGAATGTGGCTCGTCTGGGCTGAGGGAGCAGCTTCCCCTCCGCTAACGGGCGGGTTCCATGGTGAAGGGGAAGATGGCCTCTGTGGGTTTCCTTTTGTCATTTGCAGCGGGTACATAAAAGTTTGTGGAGTGTCTCCAGCTTCCAGCTTGTGCTGGAAAGGGGGGTCACCAATGTTAAAAACAAACAACTTTAAGCCCCTCAAAATACTCACAACTCCTGTCTTTGAGGAACTGATAGTCTGCTTAATGAATACACCTCCCAGTGTAAGCCATCCCAGCGACCCTTCTCTCTCCACTCTCATTTGAGATGATGTTGTTTGCAGACCAAATGACTCTTTATGAAATGCTACCCATCCCCTTACATCCCTGGTTCTGTTGTGGGCTCAGACTTAGGTTGTAAGTCTGATGTACAGAGTTGTACATGGATGTAGACTTGCTTAAAAAACAGCCCAGGGGAAATAGGAGAAAGGCTTCCTGGGTTTTCTAGTCAATGCTGGTTTTGTTTTGTTTTGTTTTGAGGAAGACTAGCCCTGAGCTAACTACTGCCAGTCCTCCTCTTTTTGCTGAGGAAGCCTGGCCCTGAGCTAACATCCGTGCCCATCTTCCTCCACTTTATATGTGGGACGCTTACCACAGCATGGCAGGCCAAGTGGTGCCATGTCCGCACCCAGGATCCGAACCGGCGAACCCCGGGCCGCCGAGAAGCGGAACGTGCAAACTTAATCGCTGCGCCACCAGGCCGGCCCCAAGTCAATGCTGTTCTTGATCCAAAACAAGGACAGATAACATGGGAGGACTTGCTTTGCTCACTTCCTTTATAGGCCTTTGTGCTGCTTGGTTTCAGGGAGCAAAGCAAACCTCATATAGCACTGTGCTTTCAAATCAACTGCACTGACACTGTCGTTTAGCGGGCTTCCCCCCAGACATCTGATCTACTGCTGTTGCTTACATTGTCCTTTTTCTTTACTTTTCCTGGTATTTTCAAGAGTTATTAGTTACGAAGTTCTGCTGATGTGCCTGCCAAGAAGCTTACATGTCCCTTCTCTCCTCACCCAGCTACCTGCAGTCCTACACTCCATCTCTCTTAAGGTAATAACCACTCACTGGCTCCTCCCTCCTCCACTTTGAGTCTGTTCCCATTCTTTAGAAGGACTCACAAGAACTTTCCACTCACTAACAAAATGACTTGAAGTGCTTCATCATTTCCTGCCCTTTCTTCTAAAGCTAAGGCTTTCATTTGCCTGCTGTTTTTGAATAAAGCCTTCGATCACTGGATCAGCCTTATTGCACCCTAATGAGCCATCCTTCCAGCCCAGGGGGCCCTGTCACACCTCCTTAGGCTTTTCCTCTTGTTCTGCCTTTGGCCGTTTGCTCCTGCTGGGTCCTTCCTTTCTGGAATGGCCTCTCTGCTTTCAAAATCCCACCACCTCTCAATGCCCGGTTCACATCCCAACGCTTCCATATAGCAGTTCCTTAATTATTTTGCATTTATTTTCTGTACGTGACATTTTAACTATTTAATGCACATATCTTCATTCTTTAATGTTCCCAGCTCTCTGTATAATAGACAGTTTAGTCACAGACGTAGAGGTTAGGGATGCTTCTAAATTTTGATATTTTATTCTCTGAATGTTTAGTTGGTGTGCTCTCTAATTAGATTTATTTTACTTGTCATAGTCAAAGATCACATCTCTGTAATTTCTCTGAGGTCTCATGCTAAGTTGTGCTGTGCTTTGCATATGCCATGCACAGGAGCATTTTTAAAAATAAATATATGCTAAGGTATTGCTGAATGAGTAACACAGAAGAAGGTAGAGTAACAAAGAAAAGTGAAGAGAAGAGTAAAGAGCAAGTTACACCTTAGCATGGATTTTTCTTTCTTTTGATCAGACCTAAGTTTCCAAATGCATACATTCAACTGGTCATCAGGTATTTTTGAAGCATCAAATTTGAAATTTAAAGACAATGCAATTAAGAGCATACAAATAGCTTGGTGTTGTGTAACAAGAAACTATCTCACATGGTTCAACAGCCAAGGACCTATCCAGAAACCTTTGACTCTAGCAAATTTTACATCAAATTATCTAGAAAAATTTGAGGGATGTCACAAGGGTGCAAAACCTCATGGATGAAGTTAAAAGTTCAATATGACACTCACTGTGGGGACATTGTAAGTCTGTGCCCAGAATATCAAGAACTCCTTCGAGCAGTTAGGCTATGACAAGACAGACTACACACACCCGTGATGTTCTTGGTCCAGCAGCTACCTACCTGGTTGACCACATGCTGCTGTAAAAAGAGGCTCAAGGGGCCAGCCTGGTGGCGAAGTGGTTAAGTTCACATGCTCCACTTTGGCAGCCCAGGGTTTGTGGGTTCAGATCCCAGGCACAGACCTACACACTGCTCATCAAGCCATGCTGTGGCAACGTCCCACATACAAAATAGAGGAAGATTGGCACAGATATTAGCTCAGAGACAATCTTCCTCAGGCAAAAAAGAGGAAGATTTGGCAATGGATGTTAGCTCAGGGACAATCTTCCTCACCAAAAAAAATAAGAGGCTAAAGAAATTTCTGTCATCAATTTTGATTCTCTGACTACAGCACAGAACATGCACAACAGGCACCGTATGCTGCTTCTCAGTATTGGAAAATGCCAGTATTAAATAAATGAGTTCTCAGAAATCAGCTATTCTTACACATGAATAATTAGGGTGGTGCTAATTTCAATAAGTTTTAAATAAATACAATACTTACCTGCATAGCAATCCTCTTCAACAATGCATGCTTCTGGACCTCAGCAATGTCACCAACAGCCAAACCAATCTGAAGCATAACACAGAGTCACTGTCAGTTTAATGGCTCCCCTAAGCGTGCACTAAGGTCTCTCTGTCTACACTGAGGGAGTGGGCAGGTAATTGCTTAGCAGTGGCCTCAAAACGCTTTGCGAACACATCTTACAGAAGACTGCAAAGCCTATACACCTTTGCAACAGGGATGGCCACATTGGTGGGTCCAGTAATCTGAAGCATAGTCATGAAAAATTACAACACATGGATTACTCTGAAATCCATTTTAATTGAAAATAAAAAGATGTTATTTTTGGAGAGGACAGCAATGATGTGATATCAAATGCAATTGGTGTAGGCAGGCAACATGGCTGCAAACCCCAGGAGTTTAGCATCTGAGGTGAACAAGAGTGACAACACGGAAGAGTTAAAACATTACACTGGGGCAATGAAGGACTTTGTATCTCACATATGTTTGGCAGAAAAAGGTACACATCAGGGGTGGGTGAGACTCTGGTAAAAAAAACTCCATGTAGAAATTCATGGTGGATAGTGTGAGGTGGGGGGAAGCTGTCGGCTCAGTTCCACTCAATGAGCTCACATGCGCTCACTCTTTCACTGTGTGTTCCACACTCAACACTGTCTACGCTGAGCCAGCCTCCTGTGTGCTGCACCAGAGAGAAGCTAGTGCCTGCTCTCAAGGAGCTCAAAGTCAAGGAAACTCCACAAGACAAGGGCGCTGTCGGTCCAGGTCACCACTGTATACCCAGTGCTTAGAACACATCAGGACACATAGTAGGTACACAAAATAGCTGCTGAAGGAGAGAATGGTGAAAGAGTATGTTCTAAGGTGTGCAAACTAGCACTGAAAACCATATATAGTCAGCAAGTCAGTTTTATTTGGCAGGATGTTTTTGTCTTTTTAACTCGCAAGCCTTGAGATGGGCATGCTCTCTACATCAGCCTCCATCAAAACCAACTGTCCTATAACTCCTTCTGGGTACAGTGAAGAGACTTGCCTGGGCTCTGAAGACATCTGGGCTTGTGAGTCAAAGAATGGATCAATCATTACTAGTTAATAGTAGCTAATGTTTATTGAAGCCAGCCCGGTGGTCTACTGGTGAAGATTTGGTGCTCTTACTGCCGCGGCCTGGGTTCATTTCCTGGTCAGGGAACCACAGCAGCCATCTGTCGGTTGTCACACTGTGGTGGCTGTGTGTTGCTGTGATGCTGAAAGCTATGCCACTGCTATGTCAAATACCAGCAGGGTCACCCATGGTGGACAGTTTTCAGTGGGGCTTCCAGACTAGGAAGAAGGACTTGGACACTCACATCGGAAAAAACTGGCCATGAAAACCCTATGAACAGTAGCAGAGCATTGTCTGATACAGCGTCAGAAGGTGAGAGGATGGTGCAAAAAGACCGGGCAGGGTTCGCTCTGCGTAGACAGGGTGCTAGGAGTCAGAATTGACTTAATGGCACTAAAAACAACCACAAATATTTATTGAATGATTATGATGTGCCAAGCACTGTTTTAAGCGCTTTTAAGCTCATTTCATCCCCTCAACAACCTAGGAAGTAGGTTTTGTTATTATCTTTCTTTGATTTGTGTCCTCCAAACTATAAGAACAAAAGGAAGGGGCATCCGATTCAGACTGGGGTGACTCGGGTTGGGGGAGCTGGTTAGCAAAGTCTGCCCAGGACACAGGGTGCTTGAGCTGAGTGTTTAAAGCTTAGAAAGAATTAACTCAAGGAGGGAGGGCTTTCCAGGAAAAGGAACAGCCTGTGCAGAGCCCAGGAGGCAGGAAGGAAAGCCTGGCACACCCAGTGAGCACACGTGGTCACGTCTGGGCGAGTCCTGAGAACAGTGGGGAGCTAGCTGGGTGAGCTCTGGGTAACATCCAGATCACAAGGCCCCTTGCATGCTATGCTGACGGGTTTAGACTGGACTAAAGCTTTTGAAGAGTTATAGAAAACAACATGAAAGAGCCACTGATGGGCCCTGCTTTTCATTACCAGAATGTCACTATGGTGACAATTTGCAGGAAGGATTAGGCGGAAGAGTGAGACGAGATAGAGAGACTCTTCAGTCTACTGCAGCAGCAATATGGGTGAGGAACCCGGAGCGTGTGTGCCAACCGGAAGGCGGTTTATGAGGCAAACGTTTATTGGAAGAACTGAGGAGGAGGGGGTGGGTGGATCGAGAATATCTTCCAGTGATCTGAGTCAGATGACTAGGAAGTGCTGCTGAGAGGCAGCAGCAGAGTTTGAAGGAAAGATAACACTGTCAGTCTTGGCTCTGTTGCGTTTGGTTTTTCTTTGGATTATGCAGGTACAGATGCTCAACGGGTCCTGGATACACGGATCCTGAGTATTGCACCAATCTGTACTACTGCTATGCCAAATTCCCTTCTAGATAATTATCTTCCAAAACATAAGAGATTCTAAGAGAAGAACATAGGCTTTATGTCATTCTTTTTTTGCTGAGGTAGATTAGCCCTGAGCTAACATCTGTGGCAATCTTCCTCCACTTTATATGTGGGTCTCTGCCACAGCATGGCTGACAAGTGGTGTAGGTCTGCACCTGGGATCCAAACCCATGAACCCAGGCCACCAAGCAGTGTGCTGAACTTCACCACTATACCACAGGGCTGGCCCCTTTATGTCATTCTTTATTATTCTTGGTCCTATCTTTTATTTTATTTTTCTTGGTCACCAAGAAGGGCATGTTCTTGTCGGCTGAAGGTGTCCAGCCTTTGACAGGTTTAGAGGGGCACCTGAGTGCCAGAGATGCCCTCTGCATGAGAGGCTCCTCCCCACTTGAATCTCTGGTCAATGAGGAATTTCAGGGCAGAGATGAGGTTTTAATCCTTCACTCATGAAGGTTTCTGCCTCACCTTTGACCCCAACCTCAAAGCAGCACACACCATTCATGTTTATTTCCTTCTTCTCCTTTGTGGTTCTTCATAGCATTTATCACCCCCATGACACCATGCTACATATTTAGTTGTTTACTACTTAGCTCCTTGACCAGTTTATAACCATGTAAGGGCTGGGTATTGGTCTGTTTTGTTCACCGCCGTTTCCCAGCACCTGGACCAGCATCTCGCATTTAGTAGATTCTTGATAAGTATTTGCCAAGTGAATGCATTTTTGCATCCTCTGTGCCTCATGCCGTGCCTGGCACACCCCCAGCACTAAATGAATGCTGAATGAATGAATTGTATAGCAGTCCATTTTTTCCTTCATGGAGGGAGATTAAAGAGGCAAATAAAAATAAATTAAAATAAATTTTAAAAAAAAGGATAATTATCATTACTAAAGGCCCCAAATGATCAAGAAACAGAAGATACGAGGATAGATTACTTACAAGTAAATTCATGAGGACAATTGGGACAAACATTGTGAAGGCAATAAGTTGTACAAAGGACAGAAATGGATATGCCAATTCATTTCTCAAAAACGGTTGTAGGAAGGCATCACGATAGTTGATGTCTCCCAACATCATGCTGAAGGTCTGCATGATAGAAAGCGGTGGAGAGCTGAAGGCATCCTGAGAAAAGACGGCAAGACAGAAATGAAACGCAAAATGCACGCAATGAAAAACCGCTTCCTGGAGAGAAAAATGGTAAAAATCATATTTAAAATCTTTCTAAAAGTCATAGGACTATCGCTGAAATATGGTGACAAGAACTACCAAGAAACTGGTGGTAAAGTCATCAAAAAGATCTTCTCTGCACATGTAACGAATCGTCGTGCATTATACATAATGACTTTTTTTCATTGTCAAAAGGTTCTAGTAAGACTATACTTCTTCCTGGTATTATATCAGGTAAATATAGTATTAAAATATTGTTAGGTTACTATTCATTTTCTAGGCCATTAATATTTCAGTATAACTATATATTCCTGATATTCACAGCAACCAAATCAACTACTGATGTAACTGCCTCACCTGGACACTCAGGAGGACGTAAAAGCTGAGTCCAAAAGCCAGAAGAAGGAAGATAAACACGACCGTGGACCTCAACAAAGTTTTCATAATTACCTCCAACATAACGATGAAAATGCCACAATTTTCAAATCTAGGAAAATTTTAAGAATTAAACTACTTATTCCCTTTTCTGGTCAAACTGTATTTCACTCAGTGTCAATATTTATCATGCACGAGGTACCAGGTTTCGCAGATGAAATAACTGAGCCCTCCTCTCAAAAGGAGCCACGAGAATTCATGAATAGCCAAGTCTAATTTTCAAGCTGTTCATCAAAGTGTTTTGTTTCTTCCTCTTTCCCGCTTCTCGTTAATGTTTCTCTTTAATTGTTTTACCACTCGACCACTGGACATTACTTCCACCAAAGTAGGAGAGAAAAATCATAGCTTCCCAATATCAAAGATAATGCTGCCAAATGCCTCATAAAGGGGTTAGAGGTGAGTTGTGTGATATGTCCTGTGGGGATTGTTTGAATGAGCTCATGTGCCCGAAGGCTCCTATCACAGGGCACATACATATGATTTACCTTCCCCATCCTCAGCTTCCTGAGGTTTGCTTTTCCTCCCCCAGGAACCTACATTGTGAAATGTTTGAGTCGTAGATAATGGGTGTGTCATCTGGCCACTAAGTTGTACTTTTCCTCTGGCAAAGACAACTTGTTAAAAGGGTAGTCATAAGATTTTAAAGCTGAAAGGGACTTCAGAGGTCTCAGAAACTAAACTCTCAGAGATGTCCCGTAACTTGCTAAGGTCACTGATAACGACAGAGCCAAGAGTGGCAGTGCCTGGAGCTGTCTTGAAGCCCCTTGACTTCCAGGCCACTGCTCTTCCCACCATATCGTGTTCCTTCCAAGGGGCTGGGCTCAACCCCACAGCATTGTGTGACAACACAGCAAGGCAGATGCTACAGTGGGAGAAACATGGTCCCTCAAGTTGACAAGACTTTGGTAAAATGTCTACGTCTTGACTTACTAGCTGGGATCTTGGGCAAGTTCCTTAACTCAGTGCTTCAGCTTCTTCTTTTATACACTGCGAGTACTAACATTCACCTCTTGTTATTGTAAAGATTATATGAAGTAACATTTATTTCAGCATGAGCAATTGTGGGAGGGAGGAGTGCTTAGCCCTTTTTCCCCTCGAGAGTTAGATCCTTTGGGGTAAATTCTTCTCTTCTATCATTATTATTCCCCACACCTATCACTTCATTTTGATTGTTTTAATCTAAAGTAAATGCTTACCCAGTAACACAGGTAAAAGCAGAATAGCCAACACTTTTATTCCTATTTCCTCTCCACATTTAACCTGGATTTGCCTAGACCAATGGTTCTTGACCTGGGGTCGTTGTGCTACACGGAGTATATTTGGCAATATCTGGAGACGTTTTTTGTTGTCACACTGATGTTGGGGAGTTACTACTGGCATCTAATAGGTAGAGGCCAGGGATGCTGCTAAACATTCTACACTGCACAGGATAGCACCCCACAACAAAGAATGATCCGGTCCCAAATTTCAGTAGTGCCAAGGCTGAGAAACCCTGGTCTACACTCTGAACTCCAAACCTCCCTCTCGTTTTCCTTCACGGTGGCAGGCCTTCAGAGTCTAAAGCAATTGGAGGAGGAGTGAGCCAGTTAGAAATCTATGGTTCTCATAATAGTTCTTCTTTTGATATCAAAAATGCCTAAAAGATATAGAAGTCATTCAAGCTGGTTTTACCTCTGAAGATACATTAAGAAGTTCATCCAGTAGAAAAATATAGCGATTGCTCCACATTGCCACTGCACGTGAGCTGGGATACCAACGAACAAGGGGGACACGAAAATGATGCTTGTTGTGTAAATCATCCAGTCAAGTACATTGTTAAATTCCAAAAAGTAATTCTTTTTCTAGGGTTGAAAAGAATGAAGAATTACCACCTGTAGACACCGAGACCTGGCATCTTATGGATGGTTATACATATGTAACCCGTAACAACATTTTTCTGGCACTGCAGCTGGAAAGAAGTTTAGGACCAAGGGGCCAGCTCCTGCCATCCTGGACGGAACTTCGAGCCCTGTGTACGGATCAGTGTTGGAAATGGCCCAGCCTCGTCTGTTGACCTGGCACTTTGGGAGTCTGATGCCTATGGAAATCCTACAAGTTTCTGGGCCTTCCCCATAGAGTCCCCTCCATCTTAAGGAAACTCCTGGAGGCCTACAAGTTACTTTAGTAATTCCTTTCTGTCTCTATAGGGAGATGCATGTGGATCTCTCAGGATACAAATGAACTAAAGCTGCTTCTGAGGAGGTTTGAGACCTGTGATAAAATTTAATCACCATAATAATTTAGTGTCATTTCCTATTCTTTTCTTTCTTTTTTTTTCTTTTTTGTTGAGGAAGATTAGCCCTGAGCTAACTGCTGGCAATCCTCCTCTTTTGTTTTTTGTTTTTTTGCTGAGGAGGACTGGCCCTGAGCTAACATCCATGCCCATCTTCCTCTACTTTATATGTGTGACACCTACCACAGCATGGCGTGCCAAGCAGTGCCATGTCAGCACCCGGGATCCAAACCGGCAAACCCCGGGCCACCAAAGTGGAATGTATGCACTTAACTGCTGCGCCACTGGGCCGGCCCCATCATTTCCTATTCTTAAAGATGTCATGTTTGGGACATTAAATTTCCTGCAGACCATTTAAATTTCAGTAGGAAAATGTGGAGACCAAATCTGAGAGAGAAATCTTATAACTTTATAGTTCAATTTAGACTATAATCTGCAATTCTCATTTTAAGAAAATGAAAATAATGACGAGAGATTAAATAATATGCCCTAAACATTTAAGGTACAATGGAACAATACAGTCTAACAGTCAGAATTGTGACAAGTTACTGAAAGTATATATATAAAAGTACTTATAACATATAATATCAAACAAATGCAAAACACTGTTATCATCATCAACATTCTTTAATGCAAATATTCATGTGGTTATACTATCTAACAAAGTAAATTTTTACAGAATATGAGGTGCTGTATAAAAGGTATATGGCTTATACAAAATAACATCCACAAAAAACCACACCAACAAATGAATAATAAAAGACTTTAAGCCTCCATACTGAGAAATAAAAGATTGATGCCATTTACCAACCAAAGCAAGGATCTGCAGATAATTGACATAATTCTTACGTTTGACCCGAACCTGGGTTGCCCATTTAAAAAAAGAGTATAAAGTAAAAATTATGCTATAAAATGTTCCCAAATTTTATTATAACTTGAAATGTTATCCAATAAAGAAAAGGAATTTTCTGTTAGAAAAGGAATTCAAAGAAAGGCCTGTTTGAAATGGAGTCTTGGGCCAATCAGTTCTTTTATAAACATTGACATTCAAAATTATCAACCAAAATCTAACTGTTATGTTAGCAAAATATTAAACTGATATAGGAGAAAACACAGAAAAGTTATTCATAAGCTCATTTGTAGCTGGGCAGACCCATATGGACTAGTAAAATGGGAACATCTCTGCCTCAGATATGTTAAATTAAATAAGCACCATCCAGTGCACGGACCTTATGTAAAATCATGCGATTTCTACATTTGGAAAAGTTTATGCTTGGTATTTCCAATCAATACATTCATCAAGATACGTGATTTTATTGACATATATTATTTCAATAATAGTTTAGCAACTAATTTATGTTCTGCATATTAAAATATTTGCAACTTTAGAGATATAAAATGTTTTGTGTACCTGTTGGAAAATTTGCGCCACTTCTTTGCAATATCCAAATATACTTGATAAAAATACTAAAATCATGCAAACTTTTATAGAATATGAATTCTGAAACAAAAAATGTATAAGACAGGCAGTTATGTGGGATGTAAAAATAAAACAACAATTTAATTTTTTCATAATTTCCACTTTACATATTTATTTTTCCTTTTGCTTCATTTCTATGCACTGTCCATATTTGCTTTAAAGACAAAACTACTGTGATGTCGATATAAAGATGACACATACTTATTTCATAATGTCCTTATTAAGAGAGGGTCAAAAATTGCCATTTGAGGTGACAAACGGCAACTAGACTTTTGATGGTAAACACAATGTAATATACAGAGAAGTCAAAATATAATGACATACACCTCAAGTTTATATAATGTTATATACCAAAGCCACCTCAATAAAAAAAACTGCCAATTGAATTCTAAAGGAATATGAACTTATAGACCCACATAAAAATTTTTTGTTGTGGTCAAATATACATAACATAAAATTTACCATTTTAAAAGTTTTATATTTTACATGTACATTTGCATTTTATAATGTACAATTCTGTGGCATTTAATACTTTCTGAATGTTACATGACCATCACCACTATCTAGTTCCATAGCTTTTTCATCAACCCAACCAGAAATCCTGTGTCTACTGTCACTATCCTCTCCCTGTAACCCTTGCAACCACAAATCTGCTTTCTTGTAGACCAATTTTAAACTTTTATACCTCCACATTCAAGCTAGCATCTCATACACGTCAATTCATTTTAAATTAGTTTACAAATTCATTTATTGACCTATTTATTTATATTCCCTCTCATTTCACAAAGAATTTTAGGAGAAACTGCCACCATATATGAATTCTATAGGCTATTTGTAATAATCAAAGTCTTGATATTTCAGATTTATTATGGGATTAGTATTCCTAAGGAAAAAAACACATTTTTGATAATCCTCTATTTTAAGAAGTTGAAATTTGAAAATACCTTGGTGTCTAACATTTCTGAATGATCACTAGTTTCATTGATGATTCCAGTTGAATTGAAAGCCATACCTGGCTTTATATTGACAACAAGTAAGGTCATAGGTATGAGACCAAGACAGTAAGATCCTAGGTTCATAAGATGGGCTCTAAACCCATAAGCCATCCTATAAAAAATAAGCAAACCATAATTGAGTATTTCAACCAAAAATATTTACTTACGATACCTGTTGAAAAAGTAGGTATAATGTCTCTCAGTAATCTATTCAGTAAATTGACTCAATTTAGAAACAAGATCTTTGAATTCACCTTTTTCATTTTCAGAAAAGCAATCTTGGGGCTGGCCCCGTGGCTGCGTGGTTAAGTTCACACGCTTCATTTTGGTGGCCTGGGGTTTGCCAGTTCAGATCCTGGGCATGGACCTACACACCACTCAAGCCATGCTGTGGCAGCGTCCCACATAGAAGAACTAGAATGACCTATAACTAGGATATACAACTATGTACTGGGACTTTGGGGAGAAAAAAACAAAAGAGGAAGATTGGCAACAGGTGTTAGCTCAGGGCCAATCTTCCCCACCAAAAAGCCATACTTAAAAGAAAAATAAAGACAAGAAAAGGAATCTCAACTTCCAAGAAAATCATGACTTATTTAAAATCTCACCAATTAATGGAAGAGCAGAGATTTAGCTCACACCTTCTGACTCCAAGTTGAGTGCTCTTCCCAGGAACACACCTCTCACTTCATTGTCTGCTACACTGCAGGGCCCACGAATGCTTCTTCATGATTTATACAACGATTCCCCCCAGATATTTCATTTAATGTGAAAAATAAATTGATGCATTTTTAATATCAAATTTTCCTTTGACACATTTCTTTTTCAAAGTGTAAAATATTAAAATAATAAAATCTAAAACATTAAAATACCATGAAAACAATTCTTTAGAAGACTTTCAATAAATTTAATGAGGCCATCACTAAAAAGAAATACTCCTTAATACTCACCATTTCATAAGTAAATATTCTCTACACACAGGATGGTTGAGAAGCTCTATGCGGTTATGTTGTACCATTGTCTGAGAAATAAGGAAAGATCAATAAAAATACAATCATATTAAACTAGTAAGTATAAACTAAGTTTTTGTTTGCTCGTTTTATAACTTTATTTTGATATTATAAAAGTAACACTTATTTAAGACTATTTGAAAAATCAAAAATTATATCAAGAATATAGTTTTTAAAAAAACAGTTGAGAGAATCATTTTATACAGAGGCAAGTATTTGATTCAGTATGTTTGATTTCAGTTTCTCAGTAGTTGAGACAGATAAGCTTTTTCATCTTACACAAAGTTACAACTGGGAAGGACGGTAAAGATAAAGCAGCAAGGGCTACCCCCTTGTTCTTTCCTTGAAGAAACTCAGGCTTATCTTTCTAGAAGGGTTTAAAATAATAGAGTACTCAGAAACAGTAGTTAAATTAGCCTGTAGATTATAGGTTTTCATGAGTTATTTGGAACTACTAGTGTTTATTTCAAAATTAATTTTTTTAACTATTCAAAAAATACAGAGAGAGAGGGATGTCAGCAAGATGGTGGAATAGGAAGCCCCAAACCCTCTTCCGCCATAAAGGCAGGAGACATCAACTTAACAACAATACACAGATCGACTGCCATTGTGAGAAATCCAGAAACCGGTCAAGAGGTTCCTGCACCCCAGGTGAGCCTGTAGCCAAGAAGAACCATGTCAAAGACAGGAGGGAAGTTCATGGCGTGTACTGGCCACAGCCCCTCCCCCAGGACAGAGCAGCGAGATCAAGAGAAAACACCCAGCCTGGCTTCTTTCGAGGAGGGAAGGAGAAGAGTGGATATGTCCAATGTTCTAACCTTTTGGGGGGCTGCCCAAGGGACTGGTTTCTTCTGTTTTGTCTGAACCTAAGCACGCACAGATCCATCTAGACTTCCAGACTTTTGTGCACAATAATTTCCTGTACCAGATCAGCTCTCCCTCCAGAAGAACCCCACTCAGCTCGCTCAGAACAAAGGTGAGGTGTGCCATGTTATTAAGACACTAGTCAACCGTGTGCCGACGTGTCGCTTACTGAGTAGTGTACTTATTCAAGTGAGCCCGTTTCTTATAATTACACTGAGTCTGTATTACATAGATTCTATTTCTTTTTAGATGCTACCAAAACTTTTACTTCCTCCTGTTCTCATTCTGGTAGTGGAGAAAATAAACCCCTTCTGATAGAAATTTAAATTACAATCTAAAGAAAAAACCTATATACATACACAAAAATTCTCTTAAGTCTACTGTGGCGTAGTTACTTTTAGGTCACTTGGCTATTGAGTCTGAACTATAACAACAACTGCAAAACATAACACACTCCAAGGGAGCTAAAAAGCTTTACATGGAGCAAATGTGAGAGTCAGCTGCCATCGCCAGCCTGCGGGCACACAATCCACATGACTCTTCATCCTTTCCACTCCAAGTACTCAATAAGCCTTCCAGATTTCACTTTAGGTGATGGTTGGTACCATGGTCTATACCAAAGGCTTCCATGTAGGGAAATGAATTCATTTAAGGTGGATGAAAATGTCTCATTGGTCTAGACCAGTGCTGTCCGATAGAACTTTCTGCAATGATGGAAATGTTTGATATCTGTGCTGTTCAATATGAGAGCCATGAGCCACATAGGCTACTGAGCGCTTGAAATGTAGCCACTGCAAATGAAGAAATAAATTTTTAACTTTATTTAATTAATTTTAATTTAAGTAGTCACATGTGGCTAATGGTTACCATATATATAGAAAGCACAGATCTACACCATACACCCCAATTTGCAAATCCAACCATTCAGTATGTTTTCTTTTACACGCACACAATTTTAATTTGTTGCCAATATTTATATAAGCCTAGGTTGCCGTTCTCACATGACAACAATTTGTTGAAATAAGTAGCTGCTGTTCTTTTAGACCAGGAGCCCATGTTCCTCATCTGTTAGCTGTTTCCTCTGCAGTTATTTGAGACCCCTGGGTTAGGCTGCAGGAGACCATCTGCATGGCTTTTATGGCCCCACCAGCTAGAAATGTAAATGTACTCTTTGGAATAAGGGCTGGTTTGGAGCAAGACTCTTGGAAAATCTGCGTCCATACTGTGCATTTAGGGCCTGCTTTCAGATTGGGTTCACTCTTCCAAAAGGATCGAAGAGCTTCTAAAAGGTGAGTGTTTACCGTGGAACCCAGGGGTTGGCTGAACTTGGAAGCTATAACTGTGAAATGTCACCCCCTGCATTTTCCTGTGGTTTACACTGGAGGAAACTCTTACACATGTGTCTGTATTTAGGTGGTTGGAGGTGGGGAGCAAGTGCTGACTGTCAGCGTGTGTTATCCACAGTTTATTGGATTCTGGGTTAGCGCAGGTTTAACACGACCATTAGGACTACAGTAATCAAGGGTGTGGAACTTTAATGGGACCAAATGATAGCAATTATAGAAAATGACTAAAAAACAAAGGGTTGGGACACATGGCAGACACAGACATAAAACTATAAATGTGGAATTCTCTCCAGGCCCCTCCCTGGAACTATTGTACCAAAACATCACAGCACTTGTGTAGAAACTACGTGGATAATGAAAACACTGGACTTACATTGAGGGCTGTAAGAGGCTCATATTTAATACTCTGGTCAGGTGTCACTTTTTTGGTGAATTCTAATGGACATTGAAGATATCTGAAATTATACTCGATCTGTGGGAGACATAATTTTTAAAAATTGCAGACTCAGATAGGCCCCAAAAGTAGTTTCTGACAATCAAATACCCAAGTCTACAATTCTGCTGAAAATTAACTGATTCAAACAAAATTGGGTAATTTCACAGGAAGAAAAGTAAATTAAGTTACTGCATATTAGTTTCAAAAAAATAAATTTCCTAGAAGGCTGTTCTTCAATTGCGTTATAACTCATAGTCCTGGACAAAGAAGGATCCTCAAAAGATCACTTAGACGTTTTAGAACTTCAACCTTTCAGAGCTTAGACCTCTTAGAACTACCCAAGAAAATAAAAAGGCTAGAAACAACCCTAAATAATGCTATTAGAAACCATTAAAATATTGGGGAGAACTGAAGATCTAAGGAAAAAGTTCCCTCACAAATAGATAATATATTAATATAACAAATGAAGACAATAATTACCATCTTTTGAGATGGTGGAACTCTAGTAACATTATTTTTAATATTTCTAAAAGAATTATAATAAAATCAGCTTCAAATTATGATGATAATAAACTTACATGGTAGTCTCGGCAGGACTTGTCTTCTGTGGAGGGTATTATGCAGAAATCTAAAAGTACCTTGAAAGAGAAAAAATGGCGAAGATACTTTCTGCAGTGATGGAAAAGGCAGGCGAAAAGAGACAGGATTTGATCCCACTTCTAAAATAACACCCAAGACACTCCCTTCCTCTTCCTTTGCTTCTTCCATCTCAGATAAACTATAATCCACAGCATTTGTGAACAAAATTTAAAATAGAAAATGTTACAACTACTACTTCATGCTTCAGAAATACCAAGTGATTCAGAAAAATACCATGCACTTGAGAATGAAACTGCATTTACTAAAATTTGAGTAAGAAATATTCCACAGTTTTGCCTAAGACTTGGTATTTTTCTGGGCTTCTAGAGAATATGTAGATTATTGAGGATTCCTTTGCTCGTATCTTATAATGATAATTTACTGTCCCCGAGTGAGACCTTTCAGCTGAGCACTGGGTCTTTCTTTGGTCTAGGTCCCATCTCCTGTATTACTGGAGCCTGGAGTACTGTGTTTGCTGCTGGAGCTCGCTTGCCAAGCAACACTGACAAACTATTCATCCAGAGTGGCATGGATGGGATAGCGGGGGACAGATGTTATAAGGAGAAATATGGAAGGCCCTCTAGATGCATAACAAAGGAGAGAGCACTGAAGAGGTCATTAGAGCTGCCCCTAGGGTATGTGGAGACAAATATTTTTGAGGGCTCCCTGTCTACATAAGCAATTTGAGTCACCCCAAATCTGTGTGTTGGCACCTTTCTGGTGGCCCAAATTCATTATCTTGAGAAAGAAATACTGCCCAGCCAGGCTGCCCTCCTGGAACCGGATCTGGACACAGGGCCCCAGATGATCCCATCAGTGTGCCCCCCAAGAGCTCCTGGGGCATCTGGTCAACCCCACCAGCAGGACACAAGGGTAGAGGGTTGGACAGTACCCCAAACGGAAGAAACAAGGACCCGGGCCCCACTGTGAAGGCACTGCTGTCCTGGCTGGTCTCAAGCACCAGAGGGGTGTAAAAAATTTCACGAGGTCTCTGTTGGTGATCAGGCAGTGGTACTAGGGGTCATAATAGATATCATGAAAAGTAAAGACAAAACTGGTCAATAGTGCTGTACAACGCAGAACCAGAGAGGCAGGGCTGGCTATGAGAGTTTGAGAGCTTTGTAATAATCACCACAGGCACAATAAAGGACAGGCTGCCCAGGGAGGGGGCAGGGACAGGGTCAGGGGTTATGTGAGTCATTCAAATGTGTGACATGAGGCTAAACTAAAAGATCTTTAAATTCTCCTATTTAAAAAAAACCTTCACAATACTAAAATAATACAAGGCCGTTACAGAAAATATATAGTAGCATAAAGAAGAAAAGAAACACCGATCATAATCCCACAACTGTGATAAGTATTATTAACGTTTTGATATAAGTTCTTGACTTCTTTTCTATGTTTTCCGTATGTGCATATTTCTAGCATATATTTTTTACTACTACCAATAATGCTGCAAGAAACATCATCGTATATAAATCTGCGTATACCCCTGATTATTCATTAGGACAGATTCCAACAACTGCAATTACTGAGTAAGAAAGTCTGAGATCATTTTCAATCCTGGATATTTATGTGCCCTTTGACGAAACTTATTCACCTAAAATGCTAATCTATGAACTGGACTGGCTCCAATTTCCATTAGATATTATAAAGAAAAAATGCACACGGAGAACTTAGCACATGCTGAATGCTTATTGAACCAATAAAAACAGTAAGTGTTAGTAGCAGTGGTACTAATAACCACATAAGTGGTATGAAAATAGTAGGACATATAATACGGGCCAAGCACTATCCTGCACACTTTTATGTATTTTACCTCTAATTTTTGTAATCACTTTGCAAAATCAGTTATCAGCATCATGTCTTAGAGATTTTGAAGAAAATAGAAAATAAAGCTCAGAGAGGTAACACGACTTGCCTAAAGCAGCACAGAAAAAGGCAGAGCCAGGACTAAATCCCAGGGCCACCAGGCTCCAAATCTGGACCTCTGGTGTCACTATGTCTCACAGCCTTCTCTGGTATTTGAATATAATTTTCCCTATGACTGGCATTCCAAGTCATTCCTCTTTTCTTGATTATTCCATGTCAGTCCCAATCCTCAAATCTCAACTTTCCCAAGAGGTCTTTTATGTGCATCCTTTAACACTCACGTGCTCAGCAGCGTGTGGGTGTTTCTCTTGTAGCAGGAGTCCAGCCATGTGCTGGGTATGCATTCAGTCTAGCGTAGAGAATCCCACATTCAGAGACCCATAAGGATCAGGCGAGTAGTGTGAATGTCTGAACTGTGCCAGCCTTAAGAGCTCTTTCCCACTGTTCTTGAAATGTTGGATCTCCTGGGGCTGGCTTTTATCTTCACAGTTTGGATCAAGGCACATAGAGATACTCTCTGCTACAAGGAAAGCAATTACACAAGAATGACAATATGTGCCAACTAACGCTAGGCATTCGAGCTCAGTGAACAAGAGGAAGAGGTGGGTGTGCTCTCCCATCGAAAGGAAGCAGCTGCTTGTCACCCAGAGATTTCTGCCTTGTAAGAAGGTAGGCCAGTCACCAGACCTTCTCATTGCTACAGGAAGCCAGCTACCTGGATCCTTAAGGGAAGCATCCTGGTTTTAAATGTTAACAACTAATGCAAACTTGAAGCAATAACACGCATGTCAAAAACACATCTAGAGGCTTTATTCAGCCAGCAACCACCATTAATAGTCTCTGCTCTAGACTCAGGTTATTTAAATAAAAAAATCTGTTGACCATATTTTCCCATACTCTACCTAACAATTAATAGGATTCTTTAATCGAAGTAGGTCCCTATTAAATATTTGTTGGATCACTTCCCTTATGGCCTATGGAAAACTAGAAGTTTTATTTAAAGAAGGAAATGACTATTATTTGAGTTGTGATTACAACAATCAATCCTCATATTACATATTAGATGCAGTTTTGTTTGGGCAACTTACTTTCATGCATTCTGGGAGGTATTCTATCATTTCGATGGTTGGACATTTATTGCTTGGAGAATAATGACTGAAAGCTTTAAAGCAGTCTCCCCATCTGTAAAAAATATATATAATAACAATAAAACAAACACAAGTCTTAATCTTTCTGTTCTGCACAACAGCAAAACTACCAGTTGAAATTCCAGATTATATCTGTAGGAGAAACCTGAATTGGTTCCAGTGGAATCCATATGTGAACCATGATTAATCCATTACCAGGGTCTTTGTCCATTAATGGATATTAGAAATGTGGGCGAATTTTAGTATGCCTGTTATAATCACTGTTCTCTTTCTCTAAATGCCTTCTAAAGAAGGAAGTCTTTAACCTTCTTCTTCTCCTGAAATCATGAAATAGTAGGAGCTGGTCGTGTTGGGGAGGTATATCCATATTCATATACAATCGCAACACAGTACTGGCACATGATACTTAACATTTAATCCATGTATATCTCCTATATTGAATTAAACTACAAAATAACACGTTAAGTACATTAATAAGCATGGGTTCTGCCAGAACATCGCAGAGTCTGTCCCTTTCTTCCTTGCCATCCAGTTGGATGGGATAAGAAGATGTTTATGATGCCAAGGAGGAAATAAATCTACAACAGGAAGTGAAGAAGAGACCATCTACCTCCAAGATCCTAGCTATGTAATAGGAGACTAGTTCTAAAAACTATCCAGACAAATTTTCTGTTAACCCTACTGATAAAATCCGTCTAGAATGTCTGCATAACCAGTAGGAAACTTTTTGTTGCACACTTGCACTGACTAGTGTTTCAAAGGAACGATCAGCAGGAAAATCTTGAGACTGTCCATACTCAAAAACACAGGCTTGATCTGCCTTGATTATGAGATTGTTCACTTCTGTGTCCACTACTGGGTGATACTGGGCCCTTGTGCAATCTATCTGTGATTATGTAGAAAAGCTTATGTTCGAGAAGCAAGAGAAACTACCCTCCAACTTCATCATTCAAACTCCTGAGAGTGTGATTTCAAAATCCACAACCACAAAAGATCACATGTTAAGGGAAATTCCCTTGGATGGCACTAGTAACAACATGGATTTACCTTGGAGACTATTTTCACCAACATCGAGTTTGGGGGTTCTGTTGATAACCGAGTGTCAAGTTCAGGTCGGCAGGGTTTGCTTGACAAAGACCATGGTGCCAGACACAACACAAGCCTGAACTCCGTGAGTCTTACGAGAGTGCTACGAAGGTGGTCCATGCTCCCGTGATTTAGAAATGGAAACTGAAGATCAGAGAGCTTAAGCAACATGTCTGTTGTCACCCAAAGAGTTCATTAAAAATTTTATGTAGGGGACGGCCCAGTGGCATAGTGGCTAAGTTCATGCTCTCCAATTCAGCGGCCTGGGGCTTGCAGGTTCAGATCCCAAGTGCAGACCTACACACCATTCATCAAGCCACGCTGTGGTGGCATCCCACATACAAAATAGAGGAAAATTGGCACAAATGTTAGCTCAGGGGAAATCTTCCTCAAGCAAAAAAAGGAAGATTGGCAATAGATGTTAGTTTAGGGCCAATCTTCCTCACCAAAAAACCCCAAAAAAATTGTAAACAACTGACCTTTAAACAATGTTGATTAAGAGCTGAAACTTATTCTTCTTCTCCTTCCGTTTCCCCTCAGCTTGTGAATCATCCTTCACGTCAGAGGGCACTAAATGACAGTAGACAGGAAGACGGCATACCTTTCATTCCTGATGGTTGTAAGAACCACCTCCTTCCTCTTATTGTGAATTGCAACATGCAAAAAGGAGGCTTGTTGCTTGTTCAGGATGATGTCCGCCCCGTAGCTCAGGAGAAGTGCGACGGCTTTGGCGTGGCCTTCCTTTGCAGCGAAGTGAAGCGCGGTGTTCTTTTAGAGAAGACAGAAGACAGAAAATCCAGTGATGATGGCTAATCATCTAAGGCTGTTTTACCACTTTGTTTCATTGTTGAATTGCTTAAAAACAATTATTAACAAAGCTAACTATTTAGTACCAAAATGCATAAAATTTTAAACTGGTGTTCAGAATCAAGCTTCAAAATAAGGAGTTTATGGTTCAAACACTGTGTGTGTGCAGGGTGTGGGTGTGGGGGGGTCTCTGTGTGTATACCTGAATTCCAAGTGGCTTGTTTTGCTTTGTTTTTGCAGTGGGGTGATGCCACAAGGACAAAGGACAGGATTTCAGGGTAAGGATGTTGGAATGAACACAGAAGAAAATACTTCCAGGAGATTTATCATCTGGCAGAGCAGTGGTTTCCAAATTTGGGGTTTTCATGGGTTTTTAAAATTAAGAAAAAATCAGTGATTGCTATGTGGTTGCCAATCTTTAGTTTTGCCACATAAAGACATTTTAAAAGGCAGTTCCTCTCTATCATTTGGTGAAAGAATGTACATTTCAACGCTGGCTCTCCAAAAAGGAGAAAGAACTTCATAGCAGAATAAAGGGCAGTCCTTCAAATCAAATACACCGAGTTATATGAAGACTTACCCCTGCCCTCTTCATTTTTCTCCATTCACTAGAGAGTGGGGAAAATTTTCTCATCAATCCACAGGGGCCTGTGGACCAGCCTCTGTGAGATTGAAGAGGTGTCTTCAACACGCACCGCCCCCAACTCTTGGCATTCTCCTTATTCTGTTCCCCTCTTACTCACTCCTCACTCTAAGGGTCTGCATAGTAAGAATCCAATAAAAGACCATGAATGGGGCAAGGAAGGGAGGAGGGTGGCTAAGAAGAAGAGGAGGTTTCTCTATGCCAAGATTTCGGGGCGGTATGAGGAACACAGTACGTACCCCTTCTTCATCCAGCTGATCCGTGCACTTAAAGTTAGTGTCAAGAATGACCTTCATGGTCTGAGTGTACCCACCCAAGGAGGCATGATGCAAAGCAGTCCAGCCATTGTGGTCACTGTTAAAGAGTTAAGAGAAGATGTGCGCATTCACTTTAGAGAGAAACGTGGGAAGGGAGGCCCCTTGGATCATTAATCTGAAAAGTGGTCTGATGGCAAAACAAAAGCATGTCTAAGTTGCTAAAGTTCTAGCAACAAAATATTTATCACATATTTATAACAAATGAGCTAACTTCAAGCCTAGTGGTCTCAAATGATCTACCTATAATGTGATTCACGTATTTTTTTAATTTAGCATATTAAAGTATTAAGGTATACAAAACATCATCAAAGACTTGGGGGTGGGTGAAACTAGAGTTAGCATGTCTGTGTCATAATACTTTCCTCAAGGCTGTAATGTACTTAAACACACTATTTTAAATCATGTTTCATTGTTTCACTGAACATTGTATCAAAAAATTTCCATGACGATGGTATTAGTTTTCCTGGCCACTAGTTATTGCTAATAGTAATATCATCTTAGAATACACGGCTTAGGGACTTAGCTTAGTGCCTCTTAGTCTTCTGAGAGTTCAGGTCTGAAGAGATCTCTCATCTGGGCTCTCAAAGATGCTTACTTAATCCCTTTGGAAAATGTTTGTCCTTTCTCACAGAAATTAAGATGCAAATACAATGAAGGCTTGTCATTTTTCCAAATTAGACATAGAAAAGAAAAAGTGTGACATCCTGACACAATTTAATTTCAGTGCTACTGAGCAACTGTTTCAGGGTGCAAGAGCCACCTTGCTATTTCAGTTACGAGGTAATTAAGCAACGACTCTCTGGCCTGGGTCCACTGGGGTCCCCTTTGCAGGTCTGCTGCCTTGTGATCCCTTGGAAGCAGGAAGGAACTGAGCAGAGCTCTCATTTCGCAGCTGCATCACTCCATTGCTGGGATTGGTACTCTGATGAAGAAATGTATTTGAACATCAGCCTAATGAGCTCTTTGCCGCCACCTTGGTGAAATTAGGGGCTACTTCATCACACTTTTAGGAAACTCTTCTGAGTTTTCCTTTTCTCTTTACAAAGACATCATTTAATTATGCCACGTTTTTATTATGCTTAATTATTTTAATTTGGTTTTGCTCCTAGTGTTAGAGTTCCTTTAAATATAATGAAATTCAGGAATTTTTTATGTCTCATGTTGCAGCTTAAAGGGAGCTTTTTTTTATGTCCATCACTCATTAGATTGAATGAAAAGTAGAGTCTTTGAATTTGTATGGGGTGTGTGTATGTACATGTTTTTCATCTGCATAAAAAGATGGTAGCGCCATGAAGTCAAATGTGAGGAACTGTATTACAAAGGTTCTGGGAACTCCTCTGCACAAAGCCACTTATTCTGTGAGCTTGGACGAGGTCTTCAACTCTATACACCTCGATGTCTTCATTTATCAACTGGGAATAATACTGACTTCTCTTTCAATATTTGAGAAGTCATATATGTTCCGAGGATTAAATAAGATGGATAACGGTACTTAGCAAGATAGAAAGTTAGATGTCATAATCAAAAATAAAACAGAAAAACAACCTGAAAATGGCTAACTAATTAGAAAGAAGATGTAAATATTCCAATCATATATCCTCACCTGAGAAATAATGCACCTTTCTTCAGAAGAAGTTGAACTACTTTATCGTGGCCATTTTTTGCAGCCAGGTGGAGAGGAGTCATTCCATGCAGGTCACCTTCATTCAAAAGCCTCGTGTCACTCATGTCTTGCAGGAGCCTCTGACAGGTGTTGATACGCCCATAACTTGAAAAATTTAGGTTTCATATTTTTAAAGCAAATATTCAACAGAAAGAAGACATGCTCATGTGTCACATAAACTGACCCTCACCTGGCTGCAAAATGTAGGGGTGACTTCTTATCTTTGCTCTTGGAGTGAATGGACACGTTAAAGCCAAGGAGGTTATTTACAGAGACAGGGACCCCCTGTCTGCATGCGTAATGTAGAGGGGTGCACCCATCGTCGTCTTCGTCCATGACCAGCTCTTTAATATGTTGCATCTATGGGAGAAAAATCAATAACTAAATATAACTCTATCATGCTAATATAGTGTTTTCTAACTATTCTTTACAACAGTGTTTTCCAATAAAGGGCAAAACTATAAATAACCTAAAGGGTACTAGAGTAAAATAAATGTAGAGGATGGTGCACGCTCTGTCTCCCTATAATGAACATTACCACGTTAAAGGCTCTGAGAAATCCAAAGAGTAGGAAATGTACTTAACATTTTTAACCCAGCATTTCCCAAACGTATTTGACTGCACACCACTCCCCTCACCCCTTCACTTTTTTCCTCCAAAGAACACTTGAGTTTAATGCTAATGTGTTCTGTTCAGTGAAAGGGATGAGATGTTAAAATTAGTTTTACTTTATCTTTTATATGAATATTAAATAAAAAACAAATGGCAGATGAGCAGCTTAATCCAATCAATAAACAAACATATTTTAATTTTTGTTTAAAATAGCCAAATACAAGTATATTTTTGATTCTTTATTAAAGATATTAACAATATTAAAACTATTTATTATAAAGATATGATGTACTTCAGATACACCTAATAGTCACTCAGGAACTACTGGTTGGTGAATATTATATGGAGATAATGTTTTCAAACCTGTCAACCAGTCAAGTCTATTGAGTAGCTTTTTGTAATTGATAATGCTAATTCACTCATTTACTTGGCTTTTCTACTGATACGCAATCCGTAAGGGTCAAAGAGTGAAGGAAAGCTGACTTCTTACGGATGGGGATATATACGAACCTCCTCTGTAACCTGGAAAACTCAATCCCACTGTAATCTATTCTCATCATCACACTCATCACCACTATGCTGTAAATAAATATTCAGATGTGGCATCTTTATTTTTAAATAATTTTTAAATGCCAGAATCAGTCTTCATAATAATAAAAGTCGTAACAAGCAAAATCACTTTACTCTTTGTTGAACCCAACTCAGTTTATAGAAATCTGGATATGTTTACCTGCATAAACTCAGGTCGCAAATTTTTTAATCCATAAGGTTGCTGTACAGTCAAATGCAAAAAATTACGTCCAAGATGATCTTTTATGTCTACACGGGCACCTAAAAAAGGTACAATATAAATATAACTTCTACTCATTTATTTAAAGCATGGCCTACGGTGGATTTTCAATTTAAGAAAATAAACGATTTTTGACTTAAAACTTTGCCAAGCTTTAACTTACAGGAAACTTTACTTAGGTAAGAAAACTAAATATATTTAAAAATAGGTTTACTTTACAGAATGTGTGTGTGTGTGTCTGTGTAAGGGAGGTAGAGAATAGGTAATTTATTACATTAATTAATATAGGAGGTCTTACATTTTAAAGCATAAAATATAAAGACAGAGATTAAAGATCAAGCAAGAAGAGGGGATGATACATCTATTATTTGTTATCATCACATCGGCTTAGTATCTAAAATGGGGACAGTTACAGTACCTCCATCACATAGGATTAATCATTGAAAGAATGTAGAGAAAATGTTCAGCAAAATGCCTGGGACATAATAATTGCTTTATAAATGTTATCTATTGGTGTTCTGAAATTATCTTTTTAAGTTTCACTCCCTTACTGGACTGAAAATTATTCTAGACATGAGAGGTATTCTATTTATCTTTGCATTCATCGTACCTGGCCCAAAGCCTAGCACATAATAAGTGATTAATAAATGTTTATCTAACCAAATTGAGTAGTAGCTCTAAAGGCTTGTCTTGGTCCCTCATGGTACCTTTAGAGAGCAGCAAATTTACAATATTCCAGGATGCAGAAGTAGTTGCTAATATAAGTGGAGAACGTCCTTCAGAATCGGTGCTATTAATGTCTGCTCCCTAAAATAAAACAAAGCCATTCAACAAAGAGCTTATAAACAGATAAATCAGCTTACGTTGCAATCTGTAAATAATGTTAATTCATTGGGGTAGAGTGTCCATAATGTGGTTAGCACTCAGCATATGACTCACTATAGAACTGCTTGAAATTTCCCCATAATTCATATGTTGTAACATCAGAAATCAAGGCATTCTTTTATCATTTCAACAAGAAAAATTATCGTCACATGTTAATCTTTTGATGACATCTGGCAACAGATCTATATTACTATCTAAACCATAAAAATAAAATCCTTTAACCTATAGTAATAGTTTAGTTCTTACTGGAAGAAAAAATTTGTATATGTCCATAATAAAAAAATCTTCCAAATTTATTGCATATATGATTTTTAAAACAGTCACAAGAAATTATTCACTTTTTAAAAAATCTACTCCATCTGAAACAAATGAACTCAACTAATTGAATTGAAATAAGTCAAATCTTAACGTAAAATTCTAGCCAAATATTTGAGAAAATTCATATTTAAAAATCACATCATATATATATTTTAAACGAATAAGTCAATATTTACCATTACTTGTTATGGTTATAATATTTGATATGACAAAAAACAAAGGCTTTAAAAAAGTTCATGGAAAGAATTCTATCTTTTGGACGGGGTAATAAAAATAGCTTAAACTCCAGTTGTGGATATTTCCCTATTCCTGGGGGACCCATCGGATACAGACGATGACGGCAGCCATATTCCCTTTGAAAGAAGGATGGTGGTCGGTGAGGTTCTGCCTACAGTTCTCTTGCCAGGTGAAGAGATGGCTGCATTTGCAAGAAACCATGTGTGACAAAACTATGGTAAATAATGTCTTCCCAGGATTCTTCTATGTAAATACCACAATGTCAATAGTTGCTGGTGACAACAAACACTTGTTAAATATGCAAATGAAACTACATTGGTTGCTCATATGGTGGGGCTTAAATACATCATATATTCATCTGTATAAATGGCTTATTAAAATTTAACTGAAAGCCAACCGATTCCACTTCTTAGAGTGAAAAAGATCTCGTGCTTTCACTTGTAACAAACCTTGGACGATATTTTTAATTTCTCAGTTTTTCATTGTTTGAAAGACGGCACTGAGGCAGCTGGGGCAGAAGCTTACAACGGATCGTGAGGGTGACAAGTGTTGCCTGTCCTGCCTCCACCTCAAAGCCACCTGTGCTGAAGAAGGGTCGGCAGAGTCGCCAACCTTAACGCTGTCCTAGGACCAGTTGACAGAAGAGCTCTCCCTGCCTTGGACCCACCAACTCCCCACGCTAAAAACCTTGGTACAGCTATCAAGAGTACACTTTGTTACTTCTAAGTTGGTGGGAATGAAGTTTGGCCATTATGCGTTCATACATGACATACTCTATTTACAAATGTGTCAATTATCTTTTTGTAAACTTTCTGCTCATAAGCAAGAAATTAAAATCTGGCTTATTTTTGAAAATTCATATTATGTAATTATATGATGTTTTTAACTGTACACAGTAATAAGAAAAAACTCATCAATGGAATAGTTACCACTGAAATTAAGTAGTCGGCTAGTTCATAGTGATCAAATAACGAGGCTCTGCAAAAAGAGAATTATAGGCATATTAAGGTACTACTAATATAAACATATAAAATAAAGCTACTATACTCAGTAAGTCAATTTAAATGACATTTAATAGCATGATAAAAAATGCTAGAGAATTAATAACCTTTCAAAATCTATAATTAGTCTTTTGTATGTAAATTTCAGAGTTAGCTTGCCAATTTTCACCCTAAATTCACAAGAGGTTGCATTATATTTAAATTATATTAAATATATTTAGTAACTGTAGGAAATAAATAATAACATTAAGGTCCCATTTGATTTGTTCTTATCTCTCACCAGTTTAGAGCTTTAACACTCAAAGTGTGGGCTGCAGGTCAACAGCACTGACGCCACCCGGGAATCAGTTAGAAATGTAGATTCTCAATAGATCTGGACTTTGAGGCTTGGGGAGGTTAAATCGTTGCCAAATGTTACACAGCCAGGTAGGCTGGAAGCCCTTTCCCCTTACTCTTCAGAGTAAACTCTTTGGAGTTTCAGCCAAAACAATGCACTGAGGTCTTTCCACTACAGTAACAAGAGGAATTCTAGCCCAAAGGGCAAACTTTCCTTTGCAGCTCAAGAAAAACTCCAAATGTCACTGGAAGGACATTCCAGGACTGTAGATCAATATTGATTAGTCAGAATTGGACTGAACTGGTCCAAGAAATTTTCAGCCAAGCCAAGTTGAGTATGTCCAGCTAGAGTCATCACCAGGCTAAGGATACTGATGGGCCAGGTGGATGAGTTTATTTTCCTAAAAGAGCTCCTTTTTATGCAGATTTGTACATTAAAGCTGTGTTCTGAATGGACACATTTTACCTATACCCACATCATTGGGTTTCTAAATTGGCTAACCACTGGAATCACTTAAAGAGTTTTTTAAAATTCCAAAGACCCATTTCAAAGACTCTGACGTATTCTGGCGTAGGAACTGGCATTAGGATTTATAAACGCCGCACATGATTCTACGTGCAACAGTGTGAGAATCTCCAGGCTAGACGTTAGTCTATCTATTGAGCATTTGTTTTAATTCAATGGCTTTTTTTTTTTTTTTTTTTTTTGCATTTCTAGGGCTTCTAACTGGATCTTTTTCATATTACCAATCTTTGATTCTTAAATACCAGTTTGCTTAGCATAATCTGTTATCTTAATCTACTTATTTTTACACACCTGCCTATTCCTTCCTTTAAATTTCTAAACATTTTAGATGTCCTTATTTTAAAATTACTTTCACATGATCCTACTATTTCTATTTCCTTAGAAGTAGATTAGCCTTTTGTCGATTTTGCTGTCTTTTCTAAGTTTTCCTTTCTGCCATGAAATTTTAGTTTGCAAACTCATCCTAAGTGGGAGTTCCTTTCTAGTCACGCATATCCCACTGTGGCCGGTGCTTTTGCCAATGTGGACATTCATACCCTGCCTCCCTGGCTTAGAACCAGATCTTATATTGGTAGCTAGAGTTTCTTTTTCCCTGAGAGATATTGTAGATTTCCTGGTTCCGTTACCTACTGGGAAAATCTCAGCTCTTTTCTGCCATTCCAGGCTTCCACCATCCTCCGAGGTTTGCAGGGGGTGGTGGGGAGGGTGGCAGTGGGGAGAAGAAAGACTGACAGACAGACAGACAGACAGATCCCAGCCACCTTTCGCTCACACAGGAAGCATTTAATCCTTGTCTTCCAAAGGAACAGAATTCAATTCTACACTGCCTGTTTCCTGTCCTAGCACCTAGTAAGCCTATAATTTCAGATGCTTTTTTCTCTGACATGTATTTCCATTAAATTCCACAGAAGTATTATCTTGTTTGGAGCTTGGCTATCACTTCCTACAACTATATGTTTTGAAAACATTTATCTATAATTGGGGCAGTGGGTGGAAAGGGGAACAGGGTGGGAAAGGGGAACATTCATATGTATCTGCTTCATTATCTTCACTAAAAATGCGGATAAGACACACATGAGGAATTGGAACAGATTAGAAAGGGCTTGGACAGCCATGTATGTTGACCTCCCGAGCATATAGAAAATTAATCTTGTTCCTATATCCACTGGATTAAGAATTGATCCAGAATACACCACTGGAGATTTTATTCTATGAAAATCTATTTAACATTCTACTTTGATTCCAGAGGAACAAAGGGATTCCAGCTGAATCACAGGATCTTTGTTATTTCTGTTCCTTTCTTTTGAACTACAGAGCTTCCGCTACGCTAAGTGCTAACTTTTTCTTGCAGGGTACAATTTAACACTTGAACACTAAAAATCTGTACACAGAATGACAGGTGGGAAACTTGCCTGTGAAGTGGCGTCTCCTGATTTCCGTTCACTGCATTAACAATATCACTGCTACCGGAAAAGGAAGATATCATCAATTTAACAATCTCAGTGGCTCCCTGGGTGGCCGCAAAATGAAGGGCTGTGCACTTCGCATTCTGTGAAGAATTTTGATATCAGAATCACTGTTTAAGTCCCCATTTAACCTAAATTCAGCTCTGAATTTTTTCTTCACAGGTCAGCAAAATCAAGGAATGTGGAATTTAAGATGATGAATAGTAATCAGTTTCATATACTGAAAAGTATCAATATAAAAATCATAGCTGGCAAGTTTGCTTCCTTGCATCCAACGGCTCTTCACACCTCGGACAGTACATCTATCAGTATCAGTATCATGATCTTTACTGCATCTCTATTTGTGTTTGCAGTTGTTTTCGGTAGCTCTCCAAACTCCTTAGATTGCAATGTGCGATATTCTCTTTCTGTTTCTACATAAACTGCAGAAAATCATACCTATTTCCATCCAAATTAACTATAAAAGAGCTGTAAAGCATTTTGAAAAACCACTGGATAATTCTAAAATGAAAGCAACGTCTCGAGCATGAACAATCACCTCCATCAGTTCCAACTGTGCACCATTGTCCAGGCACATCTTAATCATTTCCAGGTCGCCACTCTGAACCGCCATGTGGAGAGGGCTAGCTTTCGCATTATTCACAAAGTTAATATGAGACTCTCTGCTATATCCATGTTCTTCACCTTTAGAAGAAAATAAATTCAAGATAACAAATGTTATAAATTAAAGGAACTTTTTAAAAGAAAGGATGTTTAGACTTACATAGAAGCCCATGTATAAATTCTATGAAATACTTTTCAAATTAACAGCATCCACCAGAATAGACTTCTTTATAGCATAAAATGTAGGAAAGCCTCTACTCACCAAACTTTAATATTATTTCCATGCATTTTTTGGCACCCGAAAACGCAGCCTGGTGAACAGGGAAACATTTCCATTTATTTGATTTACATGGCTTAGCTCCTTTGTTGAACTAGTGGAAAAGAAAGAACAAAAAAAGTCAAATACACAAGCTAAACCCCAAGCACAAGGATGGACAAGAATTGTTCTCCTCTCGCAGACCATTTCTCTAGTCTGCGCCTATGTAAAACTGTAGAGAAAATCTTCATATGATATGAAATCTAGGCAAGAAGGTAATTTTGGTACTCGGCTAAGATTCTGAAATAGAGACACTATATTTTCCCAAGATGAAGTAACAATGTAGACACAAAAATATCACTCTTGATACCTCAGCAAACTAAAGTCAACACATTTTTCAATGGGAATAATGAGATATTTTTAAATATTAACATGACTACTCCTACACTTATTCTCAATTCCTTATCCAAATAAAGTGATAATATTTCCCAGATTCTTTTCCTTTCATTTGTGTAAAATTAATAAATGACTGGACCAACATTCTTGTTAAACTATGAAAATCTGGTATTTTCACTAATGGAAGTTCTCTATTCAAAAGATGTTAGAAGAACTGAATCATATATTAACTTGGCCTCTGAGTCAATCATTTTCAACTACCATCTTATAGATCATTGGACTTCAGGTTAAGTACCTTCTATTTTCGTAAAAGGAAAGACTTTGAAAAAGCAGAAAAGTGTGAAATAAATATTACTTGTAATCTCACCTTCTAGAGGCGCCATTGGTTTACATTTTAGATTTTCTTTTTTCACTTATTTCTTTGCAAAAGTAATTATTATATGTATACTGTGTCATCATACTGTTCAAAAGAGTTTTTACTTAAGATTTAAAAAATATTTTGTCAAGTACATATTCCATTTTGGGGTACACAAAATTTTATACAATGAATCCCTGTCATTGAACTTCAATTTTTTTTCGGTTTTCTCCCTCTGGTATATAACATTGATGTTAACATCAGTGATAGCTTTAATTATCTCCCTGGGATGTATTCCAAGAATTTGAATTGGTGAATCAAAAAGTATTCACACCCAGGGGCCGACCCAGTGGCCCAGTGGTTAAGTTCCCACACTCCGCTTTGATGGCCCAGGGTTTCACCGGTTCGGATCCTGGGCGTGGACATGACACTGCTCAGCAGGGCATGCTGAGGTGGCATCCCATGTACCACAACTAGAAGGACCCACAACTAAGAATATACAACTATGTACTGGGGGGATTTGGGGAGAAAAAGCAGGAAAAAAAGTATTCACATCCACAGTGAATGAAATTCCCCTACTCATCAAAATTTCTCTAACACTGTATATCAACAAGGTCTTTTCATTCTTTCAATTTAAGAGATGAAAAAAAAGATCTCATTGTTTTAACATGTTTCTCTTTGATTATTAGAGAAATTAATTGAACTTCATATGTCCCTTACCAATTTTCTATAGAGTATTGTCTTTTCCTTACAGATTTCTAAGAATGCTTTATAGATAAATCCATATCCATTTAAAGATAAATATATGGATATAATCCTATGCTTTGTCTACTCGGGCCATTTGATGTGCTACAATTTGGTATTGAACTATTCGTACGCTCCCTGAATAAGGCCAACATGGTATTGCATGTTACTTTTAATTATTTCAATGAATTAATTTGCTAGTATTTTTAAGATTTTGCATCTATGTTTATTTATATGTAACACTGATCTACACTGTTCTTGTGAGAGGAGCTGTCAAATTTTAGAATTATTATGATGCTCAATTCATAAAATTAATCTGGACGTTTTCACTCTTCTGTTGTGCTATAAAACTATTACCTGAAATGGAAACTTTGTCCTTGAAAGTTTGAAAGAACTTGTAAAATCTATAAAAACATGTAATATTAGTGATAATGTATTCTCTTTTTTTTTAGTTTTTATAGTTTTCTACAAATCTTTCATTTTAGTTAATTTTGAAATTTTAATTACTTTCAGCTACTTATCCATTAAGAAGGATTTTCAAATTTTTTAGGACAGTATCACGCAGATTAATTTTTTCTCATTAGAAACTCCAGCACATACAGGTAAATCTCGTTACTTCTGATTTTGTTGATTTGTACTTTTTTTTCTATTTTAGTTAGACTTGCCAATACCATGTCTAATTTATCTTTTTCAAAAAAAATAACTCAATTTATCAAATAATTCCAAAATTATTATTTTTTGTTTTCAACCTTACTATTTCTTTATTGCAATTTTCTTTGGGGTTATTTGGGGCTCTTTTTCTAAATTCTTGATTTGGGTGTTAATTTATTTTTATTTTTTTAGTCCAATCATGACAGCTTTCTCCAAGACATCTAATAAATATGTCAGACTATCTTTCTAAATTTAATTATCAGTGAGATATTTTTTAATTATTTTATTTCATATTCTTACCATCTGGGATGCTGGAGAGGGAAAATGAAGCGATAAAAATATAGAACCTGGCCCAAATAACACACAAGTGATTAAGGAATATTTGAAAGAAAGCTACTTGCTGGAATTCTAGTACCACACTCAGAAGGGACAGGATGTGGAGCAGCTGTTGGTCCTTTAGACGGGCATCTCCAGCGTTTCAGTGGATCGCGCCAGGAAATCTCACCCAGAGAGAAGCTGGCTTTACACGCAATGGGCTGTGGCTATGGGCCTCAGTCACTACATCACACAGGGCTCCCTTTTGGAGAACCGGTGGCAGCCATTTCTTCTCATCTTAGGAACATGAACAGGTATGTTTTTCTCGGCTTTTACTTCATGGGCTCAACAATAAGCCTATTTATCTTTCCTTTGACTATTCAGGAGCTCAGAGTCAAAAGTATGATCCACTTTTATTAACATACAGGCTATTATACTTTGTATTTTGTTTTCTAGCCTGACCAGCAGCTTCATCTTAATTCTTCCTGTCTATACTTTCTTTTCACTTTGATCTTCTCACGTTTTCTTTAACGCCTCCTGTTGGTCTTCTGTAAGCAATCTCAGATCCACGTAAGAGTTAAGAGGAGCATACATATACAAAAACACATAGAACTATTTCTTCTCTGACATATTTTCTGTATTTTATATTTTCCTAAGAAGAGAAACTGAGAGCTGTTGTAAATAACAATAATTCATGTTGTACTAATGAAAAGACAAAGAAAGCAGGAAAATTTTGATTAAAACACAAACCAATATCTGCAGGGCTTCACTATTATCCTTGCAACATGCAATCATTGCAGCTGTGTTTCCATTTTCTCCTTCCAAATTAACATCAGTACTGCTGTGCTCAGTCAAGACCTACACAAAAGACGGGAATAAGTGTCAAAAAGTTAACTTGCAGTTTTCCAAATAGGGTATTTGTCTTCCACTAGATTATAAGCTCTGGATGCTGGGGGCCATGTCCTCACTCATCTTTCTTCATCCCTCTCCCATAGAATCTGGCACAAAACCTCGTATCTATCAGGTACTACATAAATTTCTCAAATAGATGAAATAATGGTAATTTCTACATCACATCAATTAAAGCAATATGGATTTGTGGAACTGGAAACAGAATAAGAATCGTAGATACTAGTTAATACTTTTCCCTGTATTAAGTGAGCTCTGTTAACTAATATCTTCAAGAAAATAAATTTGTGGAGCCATTTGGAATGTGTGGGTAGGGGAGGAAGAAGGGAGGGAGGCAGGAAGGGATGGAGAAGACAGGAAGGGAGGAAGAGGGGAAGGGAGGAAAGGAGGAGAAGGGGAAGGAAGAGGGGCGGGAACCATTTCTTTCTCCCCTCTAGTCATTTTTCTTTGAACTAGATTGCAAGTATTCTGGGAAATGTCAACGAAAACTCCCCTCTCCTCAGTAGAGAAAAGAGAGTTTCATGTAACACTGGTACAGCTTTAGCACAATTGATTCAAACTCAGTCTGGAACATGATTCCTATGATGTAAGAAATCAGCATGCCTGATAATTTATGAAAAAAGCTGTTTCCTAAAAAGCTTGACTTAAAAAAAAAATCACACCACCTCCTACCAGAGCCCCTTGTTAATAGAATGTGTGCTCAAGTGTCAGCAAATGAATTAAGTCCACTAATTAGCACTGCTCACAAAAGAAAATTAAGCTGAGATTTCGGTACATAAGAACATATAGGGGAAATATTGATGGATGAAGGAAAATGAGAACACAAGGCTCATTCTATGGATTTGAGGCACTTCCAAGTTCTGCTCTTAACACTCTAGATTCACATGCAAAGTAACCTACCAAAGTCGTTAAGACGAGATCTTTCTCTCTTTGCCCTCTTAGAATCAGAGATCACAGATTTCTAGCATTTATTAGGGTGTTATTGTTGTACCATCATAGGCACAATCTTTCAAAAAGCTGTGTTAAATTATACGTGGCAGGGGTTCCAGAGGGAATGACTAAACTGCACCCACTTCAAATTCAGTCATGACCAGGCAAGTCTGGAAGGTTTGCAGGTGAGGCCTCCAGACATCCCCTTAATGAGAATCCAGGAAGCCTCACGGGAGGGTCAAACCACTGGATACTGTGAGGTTAAGCCCCAAAGACCACGGCCTGCAGGCTATTGAGAAACAAGGCCACCACCTCCTGAACCCCCAGACCAGTGCGCCCCAGGGAGCGCTATGCATAGCAGCGGCGTCTGTGCAAGAACTTGAGGTAACACATGGGTAACAAGTTTTTACTTTACAATCATACAGGCCGTGGTGGAGGTCTGGGGGAAGGCTGTCAGAGCAGACAATGGAGAAGCACTCTAAATTGTCAAGAGCTGGTGGGGCACAGGCCTGACCCACGGTATAACTGGCCACGAGGACTGCTATTTGCAAACACACGGGAAGACTCCAAAATTTCTCCTCCTTCTATTCTCTTCATCTCCAGTGAAGCAGAGGGGTTTAAAAATATCTTTTAGGGTCCAGCCCCGTTGCTAAGGGGTTAATTTTGCACGTTCCACTTCAGCGGCCCAGGGTTTCTCAGGTTCAGATCCTGGGTGCGGACGAGCACTGCTCATCAAGCCACGCTGAGGCGGTGTCCCACATGCCACAACTAGAAGGAGCTACAACCAGAATATACAGCTATGTACTGGGGGCCTTTAGGGAGAAAAAGAAAAAGAGAAAAAAAGATTGGCAACAGATGTTATTTCAGGGCCAATCTTTAAAAAATATATAATTTTTAGATTAAGTTACAGCTAGTAAAACCAAGTAAAGGAGAGACAATTATTTCAATGCTCTTATAACCCTATTTTTCTTCTTGTCCTGGTGTCACCCAGGAAAATCTGTTATATCCCCCATCTAGTTTATAAATCAGTCATGGGCTTATTTCTAAACCTTCTTTCCTATTTCTATGTGACACTTACCTTCTTATATTTGTTAATCTGAAGATTTCTGATTTCTAATTAACATTAGCCTTTTAACTGTTACCTGCTTTTAACTTTTACCCAAACCATGCTTTCAGAGCCAAGATTAAGTCAGTGGGCATTTGTTTATGAAAAGAGCCTCCAGAGGAAGCACAAGAGATCCATGGGGTAGTATGTGACATGGGGAGGGGGGCGGTCCTTGTGGTCACTAGTGACCCAATCCAGATGATACACAAATAGCACCTGGCTCGTGAATAATGCAGGCACTTAAAAAACACACAGCCTATTGCCAAAGGCCTTTCCAATAACTTCCTCAAGGAGCTGCCTTGATTCATCTCCTTGGGTGCTAACACCTAAGCTCTCCCCTTCTCCTTTAGCCAAAATGCCCATTAGGCATTCATTCCCTCATTCAAGAGCCATCATCTACCAGCAGTGAGGATGACTGGAGATATTCAGATTAGTCACACACAGTCCCTCCTTCCAGGATGACCAGCTAGAGGGGGAGAGAAGCACAGGAACATCTGATCATAATACCACGTGCTAAGAATCTGACAGAGCTACATACGAGGTACAATGGGAAAGCTTAAAGGAGCCACGGACACAGAGGGCTCAGAGGAAGGTGTCTGGACTAAAGGAAGCATGGGGCTTGCGGATACCCGAGAGCTCTTTGGTGATTTATAGACAAAGTAGGTTTTGGTGTGGTGGGATTGACCGAGTGCTTATGTTATGTTGAAATTCTAACCTTCATAAATTGAAATCCTACCCCAATATGATGGTATTAGGAGGTGGGACCTTTGGGAGATGATTAAGTCACAAGGGTGGAGCCCACACAAATGGGACTAGCACCTTCATAAAAGAGACCCCAGAAAGCTCTCTTGCCCCTTCTGCCATGTAAGGACACAGCAAGAGGATGGCCATCTATGACCCAGGAATTAGGTCCTCACCAGACACAGAATCTGTCTGTGCCTTGATCCAGGATTTCCAGCCTCCAGAACTGTGAGAAATAAATGTTTATTGTATAGAAATGGTGTTTTGTTATAGCAGCCTGAACTGACTAAGACACATGGCTCAGCACGACAGCCAAGTCATCATTCGCAATATTGTTTCTACAAGAAAACTTACATAAGTTCCAAAGTGCCCACCTGAGAAATGAATTTCTGGAACCTGATCCATTTGTAAATCACCTTCCTCCTTAAGTAAGCATGTGTGTTTTCTAGCATGTCTGTGAGACTCTGAGGTGTAGTTTAAAAGCCCCGGCCTAAACCTTACCCTTTAGGCATTTTCCTGGGTTTCCTCTATTTGACTAAACTCACTCTCAAGCCTGGGATAAAAAAAGAAATATCCCACGGGTATCATTATGTCTTCTAACAAAAAACAGTAAATCATAATTATGCTTTCCCTCTTCACTGAGGGATTCATCACCTCCTTTATTTTAATCATTAAATCAGTCAGGTACAAGTGGTAAAGCATTAACTTGCAAACAAAGATGAAAACAAAATTCCTAATTCTTGTTTTCACCAGTTATGTGAATATGGGAATAATAGAAGTCTTACTTCATAGTTTTATTTTTTTATGACAATTTAAAAAACTAAGACATATAAAGTTCTTAATAAAATGCTGGCTCATAAGTACTATTCAGTAAAGATAAGACTGTCATCATCGTCGTCATCATCATCACTGTATCATCAGTTCGTCAGAAGTAAAGCCAACTATAAACAGCATACAAGATGGAAGAACTTACGCTAAGGACTCATGAAAGGCACAAGAAAATGGAGTTATGGGTGTGACTGACAACACCTTAAAGAAACACCCAGAGATGAGGAGACAGCACAACTGCAGACCTGGATAAGACGTGGAATCGGCATAAAGGGGCGAGAGGAAGAAACACTGATGCCAGGGAGCCATCCCAGAGAGAGGATGACACGCTGTCAGTCGCCTGGCTGATTCCCTGCCTCTCGCTGCTCCCTTCAGCTGGACCGATTTCTCATTCTGGACTTGCTGGACCGTGCCAAGGACTTTGTGGATTTTGGTTCATAACCCTTTGCATATTGAATGCTCCATGTGGTGTTAATTAATATGTTTTCATGATACACTATGAGTTAATGTGTGATGCTTGATCGAGTCTCTGTAAAGGAACGCTAGGCTGTTACCGCCATTCCTGGACCTCGGTCACTTGTGGCGAGGTCCTTTATAAATTCTGGCATTGTGGAAAGACACAAAGGTGAGTGGATATTCTATTACTAACCGCTCAATACACCAACGCTGTGATCATTACATCTCATTTTCCCTGGCAGCCTAAATTGGCCATCCTCGCCCAGGCAGAGACAGCAGACCTGGGTCCCAAAATGACGGTCTGTGCCTTGGAGCCGGCGGGCAGGCTTACCTTCATCACCTCGTTGTGTAAGCCCTGCACAGCTATGTGGAGGGGCGCCATCATGTTGTAGTTTCGGAGGTTTGGGTTGGCTCCTTTGCTAAGAAGAAACTTAACGCTTTCAACCTGGTTTTTTTCTGCGGCCCAATGCAGAGGGGTATTTCCATAATCATCCATCACATTCAGCACTGGAAAAAGACGCCAAATCTGGGTTAGATTTTGCTTGGACAGTATTCAACACCTGCTGCGTGCCTATTCACTTCAAAGCTCAGTGCCAAGTGCTATTGCAGTAGGCTTCACCTTCTTTACAAAATAAAAATATAGCTTCAGTCCTCAAGAAACATCTAATGGACACCTCTAGGGGATGCACAGAAGTATGGTACTGACCTCCTCAAATGAGTTAGATGTCTATCTACAGCATCCATAAGGAATAGATCCTCCTATAGCAACATGTTTTTATATATGGTATGAATTTGGGGATTGTTAGAAAATATTGAGTTTATATAAAAGTAATAACTATATGCCAGGCACTCTATTAAGTTCCATACAACCATTATTCCATTCAGCCTTCCAACAGCCTACAAGGAACCATGACTGTTTTTCAGAAAAATAAGGCCCAGGGAGATTCAAAATCTTGCCAATGTTACACAACTAGTAAGGAGTTCTGTAAGTTGCCTTAATTCTTTGAACATCAGTTTTCTCGTACTCAAATTTGGTTAAAAAAAAAAGAAAAGGAAAGAAAGAAAATAAAATCTATATATATACCTTGCAACGTTCTTAGGAGGAGAATATCAAATCCTATCTTTAAAGATCTTAATAGAGCGTCTGGCCCATCGCAATGGTTCGAAAAGGATTAATGAGAAAAAAGACACACCACTAATAAACCACAAGACTGGAATTAGAGCTTCAGCCCCGGATGCCACACATGGTTTCCATGTATTTCTACAATACAATACAATTTCCACAGCTACTTCCTGTGTAACAACGGCCCTGTGGGGGTCGCTCCTTTCCCTCCATATTTCTAATCTACTACAATACTAGGTATTGGTCTACCAGATATTTCCAAGTGGATGTCCCCTGGGCCCTTCAAACTCAGTATGACCAAATCAAAATTCATTATCCCCTTACATCCTCACAATCACTTTTCTTCTGTTTCTTATCTGCCTTCTTTTCTGGACGGTTATACTATTAGCGTAATTTCCTAAATTAGGAATCTCAAAGTTAGTTCAACTCCTTGCTACTTACTCCTCACATTCAATCTTTTATCAAGCACTGTCCACTCTACGTGTAAAATAGCTCTTGACTCTCTCCCATTCTCCTTATTCCAACCTCAAAACCCCGGTGGGCTCTCATCTTCTCTTTACTACTAAAATAGCCTTTTAATTGGGCTTCCACTTCCAATCCATCCTCCACAATATTGACAGAATTGTATTAAATAATAAAGGTCTTCTCACACCACCTGTCTGCTTCAATCTCTGCAGCATCCCCCTTCCTTATCTGACTACAGTTGCGTTTCTCAAACAAGGCTGGGGTGGGGGAGGATGTTACATCTTCTGGGAGTCTCGATTTTATTCAATGATAAGAAATTTAAGTGTAGAATGACCTCATGGAAATAAGTCCATGGAAATTTTGTGGTCTATCATAAAAATTCAAAGAAAATCTGTGCTTGTGGGATGTCCCAGATTGGTGCACTAGCCTTGGCAGAATTTCAGTGGGAAAACTTGAGAAGCACTACTGGTCTGTTGGGAAAACCACCCTCCTGAGTGAGCTATTCAGGCCCATTATAATCTGGAACTAATCTACCCTTCAGAATCATTTCATATTTCTCTTCCCAATGAATCGCATGGGCTGACGGATTTATGGAGCGCTCATGGTAACATTTTGCTACCTTCACAAGAGGAGTCATTGATGATCATCTGCATCAGCTCCACTTGACCTTCTCCTGCAGCATGATGCAAAGGGGAGGCATTCGTATCATCATATTTGCTTAATTTCTTTTGTTTCTTCATGAAGTTTTGTAAGCCACATGTACTGCCTTCAAAAACCACCTAGAAGTATATAAAAAACTGTTACCTCAAACAAGTGAATGTAAAGCATTAATATAAGTTAATCGTTAACAAAATTATCATCCAAAACCATTTGTCATGCTTACAATAAGGTAAATATTTTTTTTTGAAAAACACAAAATGCTTACAGACATACAGAAGTTACAAGCAAACACCTAACATTGATAAGTACGTTAAATAAATGATTTTATTTCTGACCATAAACTCATATATGCTGTAGAAATAAAGGCCTTGAAAAATGTTTTGAAGTAAATGTAAGGGATGTGATCTGAGAAATAATAAGTATAGTGAAAAGAAAGAGGAATTTTCTTTGCCAAGTGAAAATGTACTTAAACTACAGCATGAGGGATTTTGCTTAGATAAAAAGATTTTCGTGAATGCAAGGATCAAGCCCAAGAATCTGCGTTACTATCCTTTCTTTGGCTTTCCTGCCGACAGTGAATTCCCACTCAATACTTCCTTATATACTGGAGCTGGAATCATACTGAAACAGTGTCGTGTAATTCACTTGGCGGTAATTCAGAACGGCTGCCCACACCCCCAAGAATGAGTAATTCCTCCTCTTTTGACTACTGGAATCCTGCACCAGGCCAAGCCAGGTCATGTTCTCCCCCTTATTGTTATCTACACACAGGAAATACTAGCATTACTGCACACTTACTTGGGGCCAGAAACCAGGACACGGAGAGGTTACACCATTTGCCCAAAGGCACACAGTAAGTGGCAAAGTCAGAATTTGAACAGGAGGCTACATGGAACGTATATTTCGGCTGACTGATTAATGCTAAAAACCAACATACAGTAGAAGCTGAAGTTGAGGTCAAAACCACAGTTCCAGAATAAACTGTGTGAGAGAATAAGATATTATAAAGCATAAGAACAGACTTTGCAGAGCAGACTCAACACGTCTTGGCACAGTCGGCTGCTGTCACTGGCCTGCACAAGTGTAATTCCAACAGATGCTCGCTTCCACTGATGTCAGGGGAGGAGCAAGAGCTTGGCTGAGTATCTTATTTTTCTCGAACTTTCTTTTCTTCTTCATGCTCCTTATAGTCTTTCTTATGTCTGGACTGAAGATGATTTATCATGAATGACATTATGTTTCCTCCTTGTGAAATTCTAAGGTGACCATGTTGACATTCTGCTTCTGATTCATTCTCACAAGATAGGAAAAATTCCCAAACATGACTTTTTCTTAAAAAGCTCACGGCCTAAGTGGAATAAACTTAGTAAAAATTAAATAAATCTTTAAAAATTATTTTATTGAATGTTATTAATGTTACTACAGCAAACAATTTTACAAAAGCCTTCATGTCATAAATTTGCTTCTATTATCTGGCCTTGAATTATTATTTAAGTTTTCATAAATATTTTGGATCAAAAAATGTATTCTGTTCTTCCTAAAATTAACTAATGCATCCTCTCTTAATATCTGCACTAACTGACATCTAGCTCTCTATTTAACTACTTAAAAATTCTTACTATCTTTTTACAGAAAATTAAAAATTTTCAAAATCATTAATTATAGTTATATTTAATTATACCTCAACAAACTGACAAGATTTTTATTCCAAGTTGCTCCTAGAATTTCTGCCTATATTTGAAAGTGAATATTTAGGTATTATCAATAAATATGAATGACATACCTTATTCTAGTGCTAACATTTTCACATTGTTTAGGTATGATAGTATCATATCTAAGATTCAGAGATGCCAGAAATGGCATCAAATTAGGTATTCTGATATTTGGTTGCCAAAGGCAAAGCTGAAGCCAAAGCTGAATTGCAGCTTTTGGCCTCAAATCGAGGCTGAAGCCAAACTCCGGTATGTCCCTGGATTGCACACAAGAGTTCTACTCCAGAAGCCATGCTCTTCCAGAACCTGCTGTGCTGCTGGCCTCATACGGTGCTAGAGTCTTACCTGGCCTTCCACCCAAATGAAGGGCACCCTTCTCTCTTTCCTTGTTCCCGTTACGCTGTCTTCCTATAGCCGCCCAAGTCTTCCCTCCTCCTCGAGGCCTTCGTGACCGCCACAGGGTGCCATCCTCTAGTCCAGCCCCTCTCTGTCTCTCAGGAATGCACACTGGAGTTTTCCAGAGGCCACAAGATGTGTGCTGACATCACGGTGCTGACAGTTACTGGAATGTGTGTATTCTCACGTTTTTAAATTTTTCACCACTTTAACTTCTAATTCGGTAAATATTGGTAGCTATAACCCAATAAACAAGCATTCTTTGGAATCCTCAATATTAAGTTTAAAGGGGTTCTGAGGCAGAAAAAAAAGTTTGAGAGTCACTCTCTAGCTCTCTCCTCACACTGTCTGTGCTAAATTCCTTCTACACATCTGTATACTTATTCTCTGTGAGACTTTCATGTATGGAGATAGTTTTTCCAGAAAGAGAGAGTGAAAGAAGGAAGGAAGGAAAACCCAGATGTACGTAAGAGCAGCCATACGGACTTTTATACACACTAGAACTTTCCTGGACTATTTGGTGAATTTTAATTCCCTAGAGGCTTAAACATCAATGGGAAAAATTAATGGAGCCTCATTCCAGTTTTATGGTAATATAGAGACTGAAATTACTGCTCAATGTTTCTTCCAGCTTTGCAAATACATGGTTAGATTATACACCTGGCTGAAATTTTTTCAAAGCTATTTCTTGGCAAATATTTCATCCCATGGACCAAAAGCAACACGTTCTACATGGCAGCAGCTTTTCATGGAACCCAGTGTAAAATGCCTATTTTCTGAAAATGCAGAAACCTCCCCCAAGCCAATGACCCAGGTACTTGCTTTAATTCTCCCTTTGACGGTGACTGGGCACATTTGACACACAATAATATAGGTGTCAAAAACCCTACTTTGCTATTTTAAAGATAACCAGAACATTTCTCACATTAAAATTGAAAGCTACCATGAAATAAAATGAAGCATTAAAGTACTTAAGGTAGTTTACCATAGTTAATAAAGAATCGAGCACATTTGAATTCACTCAGTAAATGTCAGGTTGGCACATATAAAACAAAATCTTAAAATTGTGAACTTTGGCTTTTGCTCTGTTATCACAGAATAGCACCTAAGAAATCAGTCTTCTAAGGTGGTCCCTTAAATAGAGATGTGTCACTTTTCAACAGCAAAATTCTATATAGGCTACATACAGCTTGGTGAATGCAGGATATGACAACGAGCATTCAACCATTTCCAAACGTACACATATTCAGGAATGAATTAAAAAATGGGCTTCTGGGGCTGGCCCGGTGGCGCAGCAGTTAAGTTCGCACATTCTGCTTCAGCGGCCCGGGGTTCACCAGCTCGGATCCCAGTCGCGGACCTGCACCCCTTGTCCAGCCATGCTGTGGCAGGCGTCCCACATATAAACTAGAGGAAGATGGGCACGGATGTTAGCTCAGGGCCAATCTTCCTCAGCAAAAAGAGGAGGATTGGCAGCAGATGTTAGCTCAGGGCTAATCCTCCTCAAATAACAATAATAATGATAAAGCTATGAAAAAAATGAGCTTCTTACAGATATAGGCTCTTTCTCAATGTTTCACCCTGTCAAAGGAAGTGTTTACCTAAATCCATTTGGAAGTATTTTACCACTTGAATTTGATATGTCCTTCCAGTGGCAATAAAGGGATTACTTCAGCCACCCCACAGTGCCAGAAGGAGCAATGTGTAGGTCTGTCCAGTGATGTGCTGTCACCCCAAACCCAACTACACACTCTCGAGAGCAAGTACCAGGTTCGGATGCTCAGAAGGTGCTCCTGAATTCACAATGACAAAACAGCATCTAAATCCTTTGTGCACGCTCATCAGATGTGCCCAACTGTCTGAAACTAAACAGTACATGACATGTCAAGTCAGGCTTTGAAAAGATTTCTTAAAGTTCCGAAAGTCAGGCAAAGGCGTCATTTAGACAGACTATTACAGATTCATTCTGTGTAGTTTTCTACTGTCACATGGTCACTTCAGATTATTTGGATTCTGAACTATATGACTAGATACAGACCATCATAGACTAGATCATTTTTAAAGAAGCTAATTCTAACTGAGCTCTTTAAACGGAGATAGCAAATACGTCTGTTTTAGGTTGCTTTAATGAAATACACAAAAGCACTAATGGGGCAAAAAGGAAGGAAACTAATGTGACAGATGACAACAAATAGGAGGTCAAATGCTAAAATATTAGCTCTCTTCACAGAAAGTCCCTGGAAAAGGCTAAAGGCATCATTTAGATGGTTCTTTTCCACATTTCTCATCTTGTAAAGTTTCTCAATCCCTGATTTTCTCAGCATTCCTGAGGTAGCGTGTGTGCTGGAGAAAATGTTATACACCAGATCTTTTTAACCAGGAAATCCTCCGAGTTCAGAACTCTCCACAGTGTGTTATAGGTATTGATTTGTAATTATTCTCACCACTGAGGTTTCTGCAGAATGATCCAGAATGACTGCAGACAACAAAATAAAATAGATAAATCCTTCGATCTACAAGCTGTACTGTGGCTTCTACAAGCCTTAAATAACATAAACGGCTTTATTTGACTTAGGCAATAAAACTAAAGACAGACAAAAACAGCAAGAAAAGTAAGTTTGAGACTTTGTGCTGCAGAAATCCTTCAGCTAATATCTCTAGAAAACGAAACCACATCGGTAAGCAAAGGATGTATTATTTCTGGTGTCATTTTCAAAATTTTAAAATTTCTTCCCATCTCCTAATATTTATTCCAGAGACACTATCCTAGTGCTTGAAATGCCCTCATGGCCTCAGTTCTTGGGGTTAAGTCAAAAGACCTTGGTGAATATGCTAATAGTAAGGAGGAGGAAAAAAGTCAGTGTTTAATCTGGATGTGCAAATAGACTGACTTTGGGAGGCCTGGTTTGTTGGTTTATGTGATTTACTACACATGTGCGACTCACACACATGATGGGCAACAGCGTCAATTCGTGCAACTTGCTTAGAGGGCGACTTGGCAATTTCTACCAAAATTACAGCTATACATACCTCTTGATCCTGCTAGGACATTAACACACATACACAGTCACTAAGGTACCAGTGGACAGACAGATGGAGCCACTTGAACACTCACAGACACACTCATTCACGTGTGTAATAGCAAAACAAAACAAAAACACAATTGAAGCGCCCATCCATGCAGGACTGCTTAAATAAATCATGGTACCTTCATATAAGGGAATACTATAAAGTTGCTAAGAACAGCAAGGTACAGCTCCAGGTGCTGATTTGAAAAGTATTCTAAAATATATTTCGTGAATAAATCAAAGGGCAAATCTCTCCGACTTCATACTTTTATAAATAAAAGAGATATACGAGGGGCTGGCCAGGTGGTGCAGCGGTTAAGTTTGCACGTTCTGCTTCGGCAGCCCAGGGTTCCCGCGTTTGGATCCCAGGTGTGGACCTACGAACTGCTTGTCATTCCACGTTGTGGCAGGCATCCCACATATAAAGTAGAGGAATATGGGCACGGATGTTAGCTCAGAGCCAGTCTTCCTCGGCAAAAAAAAGAGGAGGATTGGTGGCAGATATTAGCCCAGGGCTAATCTTCCTCAAAAAAAAAAAAAAACCACATAGATATATGAACGTGTGTTTGTATAAGCACTTTTCTCCTGGAGAATACATAAGGAACTGTTAAAAGGGTTCCAGTGTGGAAAGGGATCTGTGATAGGGGTTTGGGGTGACACTTCTAATGATATCCTAACGTTTAAAAAGACCCCTTTCCTCCTGCAGACCACGTAAGGAAACCCCCCCCCCCGGCAAGTTTTCTGAGCCCCCAGCAGCCTGTGCCCTCAGACTGCGCCCTCAGGCGGTAGCGCTGAGTAGTGCTGCCTTTGGGTGAAAAAGCCCCAGGAACCTCACAAGACACAGAAGCTCCATCCCAGCCCTTCGGAGCCCTGGGGAGACCACGACCCATATTCAAAGGGTCTCTTCCTCCACAGTCTTTCCCGACGCCCCGATGCCCTGGAGGAACTCGCCACTCCTGCCATTCCCTGTAACGCCTCAGTGCTGGCGTTGGTTCCTCTGTTTCACTCCACAAGACAAGAATACTTCCCAACCCAAGGCACCGAATAGCTGGCCGATACAGCCATTTAGCTGTATGCCCCACCTTCGGAGAAGGGCCCCTCTGGTCCCGCACACACGCCCCGAGATGAGCAGCCCTCATCCCGCTGCGCCCCCGGCCCTCCATGCCCGGGCCGCCCGCTAGAAACCTCGAAACGCAGAGCGCCAAGTTAAGACAAGCCGAGCCCCCCCCGGACTTCGGGGCCCTCCCGACCGCCCCGGGTACCTTAAAGGAGTCCTTGGAGTCGTCCATGTCGTCCTCCACGCCCTGGTAGACAACGCCCGGGGGCTCCTTCTTCTCCCCGGGGCGCAGCATCTTCCTCAGGCTGCGCTTCATCGACCCCACCCCGGACGCCACCTGCTGCAGCTGCTCCCCACGTGCGCTGGCACCTGGGGCGAGAGAGCGCGCTGACCGGGCGCCAGGTGTCGGGTTCCCGGCGCGGGGCGCAGGGTGCCGGGCGCAGGGTGATGGGCGCGATCTGGGTCTCCCGCGCCCTCCGCGTCCGCGCCCGAGTCCGGAGCTCCGAGCTCTCCGCACCGGGAAGTTCCGGAGACGCGAAGAAGTTGCTTTGCGTGCGGCCGGCAGAACTTCTGGAAGCAGCCCGGCCTAGGCTACTTGTAGCGAAGGAAGCGGGAGGGGCGCAGGGAGGAGGCAAGGGGACGCAGACCTCGTGTCCACCCGGCGAGGGGGCGGCCCTGCCGCGGCTGCCGGGGCTCCGGATCCGGGGGGAAGCACGACTTGCCTGTCTGCGCTGCAGCAGCGCACCCCGGAGTTGAGGTGTCAGGTCAGGAGGGATCCAGGGAATCTGGAATCTTTTATAATAAAACCCCTAAGAGCTCCCCGCCCCGTCCGCCCTGCCCCACACCCAGAGAGGAAGGGAGGGGGCAGAGAAAGAATGAGCGAGAATAGCTAGGTATATTAGAAAGATTTTTCTCTTTTAGGATTTTTTTCCCCAGCTAAAAACTGCTGGGCCTGGGTTTCCCATGTCCACTTCCTTTTAGAAGCCTCTTTGATTTGGAAATAAGGTATTTAGAAAAACTTCTCTTTCCGAAAGAAAAGGGAGAAGGGTTAAATCCTAGCACTGGTCTGAACTACGAGGCCAATTCCCTTTGAATCTCAGGTTCCATTTCCTGTGAATAACAATGCTAATGCCCTGGGGTTTGGTGTCTTAGAATGGCTAAGAAAATGACTGTTAGGTTCAGGGTTAGTCATAGTGACTGGCGGCGGCTTGTTTACCCTCAGCTTTGTTGGAAAGGCTTCTGTCTTCAGGGGCCTGCGCTGTGGTTATTCATCACCGGCACAGGTGTGATGCGTGGAGTGGAAGGCCTCTGCTCTCCACTGGAGAGCCCACTTCTCGTTTATGTAGAGGCGGTGCAACCTCTGAAACTGTTGCCGCTCCGTTTAGGCCACAAGGTCAGAAGGCAAAAAACTCCTTCCAAAGCTAATGACACTTTGCACAGGACAGAACTTAGCTTTTACAGTCTTCTGTTTGGTTAATCTGTGCTCCTTTAAGGCCCTGGATTGTCATATTCACCTGGCGACCTCCAGCGCCAAACGCAAGACCCACGTGGGTCCAGGACCTGGTATAGAGCCGGCACTAAATAAAGGTTTGTGGACTGCAGGACCTAGGATCTACACTGGGCTGAACTCAAGGGTAGGTAGAATGGTCATGATGATTTTGAGGAACTCTGGGACGGTCCCCCCAAATCTTCCAATAGATATGGCTAGCTAGGTTGCCGTCAATTCTACCCCTGGAAGGATAATATTGAAGTTATGGCCAGTCATCAACCTTTGAACGTGGCCTGCTGAAAAGCTGGTGAAGGATGCAGCATTCAACTTCAGCACCTGCTGTTTTCTCATCAGCATCTACGTTCAGGAGTACAGAACCGTGATCAGTACATCTTGCTATTATCTAGTTGAGATAGGTAATGTCTTTGGAAAATCCAATAAGAAAAGAATCAGAGGGATGGGGAAAGAGAATAACTTTGAGTCACTGCTATCTGCCGGGCATTTTCCATATATGTTCTTATTTTAAAAACGAAATGCCTCATAGGAACATTAAGACTTTTTCCTACCATCAATTACTTTGATCACTTGCTTTTCTCCTAACCTTTAGCTGAAAAGGGTCATTAAGGCAAAAATAGAATAAACAGGAGGCTGGAAGCTGGGCAGAGGGCGTCCTGGTGGAGAGCATCAGTTGGCTGTGTTGGCCTTAGAGAAATGTGGCGGTCGGGATTCCAGCGTTAGATTGGGTACTGAGGAGAGGGTTGTAGGAGGCCAACGCTTCTCCCTTGTCATGTTCACTGGCTTCAGCTGCCAGCACAGAACCTCTCCAGAATACCTTCTGTGTTTTCGCTTCTGCGCCCCATTTTCATCCCCTAAATGTATGCTTTTAAATTTGTCCTGTCCTGTTTTAACACTGAAAAATAAAGAGGGTTGGTGTTATAGATCTGACTTTTTTTCCTCACTTTCTGTTTATGAAAACAAAGAGATTGAAATATTATTCAATTTTTCTGTTTATCTTTTGCTGGACTTGTTCATTTCAGGCTGTAATCTCCTAAGACCTCTCGAGAATTCCCATCAGTGTTTCTTATTAATAGTTAAATTTTTTCCTACCCATTAAAAACATCCTTTTCATAGGCAAGGCTTCCTTTTTAAAGTTACTGCAAATCTTGGTTTTAAAATGCGTAATGTGGACGGGAACAAGATGATATCTAGCCATTTTCAATCAAGACCTTATTCCTTTGAGGTTTAATTACGGATGCATACTAATACAATGCAATATTTCTACACCAATTTTAATTGCAAAATATGGATAATCCTTAGAGAAAATAAACTTTTATAGAAATTTCCAGAAGGTAGTTTTTATTATCAAATTACTTTTTATTACACAGAACTTTAAGAAAATGAAAATAAAGAGAATTTTATTTAAATTCTCAGGGAAAATATAGTTAAATACATGTATCAGCCCAGCAACTTTTTACAAAAAAATCTAAGTTGTTAGAAATTATCTTTAGTTATTTGATTCCTTACATTTAAAAAATTGTTTCTGTTTATTTGTGCACAAATTAATTACAAAAATACTTATATTATAAAAACACCATTAATCCAAATACATTATTATTAGTACCAAAACCGTTTGGTTATCTTAGCTTCAGTGCCTGAATTCAATGAAATAATGAAAAGGGGTCCAATAAGCCCACTAAGGAACAGAAAATTTGTGTTGCATCTTTTTTTAAAACATTATAAAATTCGCCCATGGTATGTGTACACTTTGATGATTTTTAGTACACTTCTACAATTTTGCAACCATCTCCGCAATCCAGTTTTGGAACCCTTCTATCAATCCACAAAGTTCCTTTGTGCCCAAATGCAGTCAATCCCCTCTCCCACCCCCAGCCTTAAGAAACCTTTGATCTGCTTTCTGTCTTTATGGTTTTGCCTTTTCTAGAAATTTCAGATACATGAAGTCATACTCTACGGAGTCTTTTGTTTCTGGCTTCCTCTGCACAGCATAATGCACTAGAGCTTCATCCATGTCATAGTGTGTATCAGTTGTTTCTTCCTTTTTATTGCTCAGTAGTATTCCATTGTATGAGTATACCTTATTTTCTTTGTCCATTTGTCAGTTGATGGACATTTGGATTACTCCCAGTTTTTATCTATCATAAATAATACTGCTATGAACTTTTTCATACAGATCTTTTCGTGGACACATATTTTCATTTCTCTAGGTTAAATACCTAGTAGTGAATTGTTGGGTCATATGGTAAATATGTGTTTAGCTTTGTTAGAAACTGCCGAACTGTTGTCCAATGTGGTTGTACCATTTTCCATGCCCACCAGCACTGTACGAGGATTCCAGTTTCTCCATGTCCTTACCATAGCTTAGTATCAGCTATCTTTTTGAGTATTGTCATTGTAGTGGATATATAGTGTCACATTGTGGTTTTAATTAGCATTTCCCTAATGGCTAATGATATTGTCCATGTTTTCATTCCTTATTAGCCATTCACATGTCTTCTTAATGAAATGCTTATTAAGTTCGTTTGCCTCTTTTTTAATTGACTTTTCTTACTAATGAGTTGTGAGAGTTCTTTGTTTTCTAGATACAAAGCTTTTATCAAATAAATGATGTGCAGATATTTTCTCAGAGTTTGTGACTTCTTTTTATATTCTAATGGTGTCTTTTGAAAAACAAAACTTTTAAATTTTTATAAAAATCTAATTTGTTAATTTTTTGTGGCTTGTGCTTTGGGTGTCATATATAGACATTTTTGCCTATGCTAAGATTAAAAAGATTGTCTTCAATGTTTTCTTTTAGAAAGTATATAGTTTTAGCTCTTACGTAGATCCACTTTGAGTTAATTCTTGTGTATGGTGTGAGATAGAGGTCTAAGTTAATTTTTATTGTGTACAGATATCCAATTGTTACCATTTGTCAAAAAATTATACGTTCTTCATAGAATGGCCTTGAAACCATTGTCAAAAGTCAATTGACCATAAATATACAGGTTTGTTTCTGGACTCCCTATTCTATTCCATTGATCAATATATCTCTTTAAGCCTAAATCACACAGTCCTGATTTTGTAGCATCATAGCAAATTTTGAAATCAGATAGTGTAAGTCCTCTAAATTCGTTCGTCTTTTTCCACATTGTTTTGGCTATTCTAAGTCCTTTGCCCTATAAATTTTAGGATCAGCTTGTCAATTTCCACGGAAAACCTTGCTAGGATTTTGAAAGGAAATGCACTGAGTCTCTAGATCAATCTGGTGAGATGTGCCATCTTAATATTGTCTTCTAATCCTTAAACAGGGTATTTTTCCCCATTTATGCAGATCTTTCTTTATTTCTTTCAGGAATGTTTTATAGTTTTCCATGTACAGGTCATATAAGTTTTTTATTAAATGTACTCCTATTTTTATTAGTTTTAAGCAATTCTGAACGGAATTTTTTTCTTAATTTTCACTTTCAGGTTATGTTATTAGTAGATAGAAGTACAATTGCAGTTTCATATTCCTCTTGTATCCTTGTTAATCTTGCTCATTAACTTTAACAGCTTTTTTTCTAGATTCCTTATAAATTTATACATATAAGATCCTGTCTTATGCTATAAAAACAGTTTTGCTTCTACCTTTTCTGACTGTATGCCTTTAACTTCTTTTTATTTATTTATTTTTTTGACCTTAAGGTAGTGGTTAGAAGCCCTAGGACATTATTCAATAGAAGTCCAGAGAGTGAACATCCTTTCCTTTTTCCCCGATTGACGGGAAAGCATCCTCTTTCACCTTTAAATATAGTGTTAATAGTAGATTTGCATAGTTGCCCGTTATCAGGTTGAGGAACTTATCCTCTATGCTTAGTTTGTTCAGTTTTTATAATGAACGAGTGTTACATTTTGTCTGATGCTTTCTCTACAACTCTTGAGATGATCACGTGCTTTTTCTTATTCTATTATCTTATATTAGTTGATTTTCTAGTATTAAGTCAACTTTTTATATGTTGCTCGGTTCAGTATGCTAATTTTTTTTGTGTTTATGTTCATGAAGTTATATTGGTCTATAGTTTTCTTTCTTGTGTGATGTCTGTATGGCTTCGTATCAGCGTAACAGTGGCCTCACTGAAGGAGTTGAGAAGTGTTCCCTTCTATTTTCTGAAGTAGTTTGTATAGTATTCATACTGTTTCCTTC